GATTTTAATGAAACTTTACAGTAATGTAGTTTATAGATCAGAATAACACATAGGCTACTTTTATCCCGAAAAAAATGTTAGGTTCCAGAGGGATTTCCAAGAAACTTAGTTAACGCAGACGAAGTCGCGGGCGACCTCTAGTAAACGATAATTATGTAAAATTCAAAGTAAATAATATAGATTTTTATAGGTAAATCACCCCTTTCATCACCCTACGCCTATAAGTATTGCGATGTTGTAGCTAAGAACCAAGTTCCCATCTACTTCTATAGGGGAATTCATTATAATCGATTTAGCTATTAGGGCACGGAAGCGCAACAAACAAACTCACTTTCGCATCTATAATATTATATAATACTTACTAGTGATTCACCCGGGCATTGTACGGGTGAAATTTATTTTATCGGGATAAAATATAGCCTATGTCACTCGAACAAAATGTATTTAAATAAAGAAAAATGTAATAATAAACAATGTAGATACCTTATGATGAATTATTATTTGAAACCGGTTCAGTAGTATGACAGATTATTTGTTACAAACATACAAATTTTGCCTCTTTATAATATTAGTAGGTATATGTAGATAGTTAGGATAGTATTTAATTGATGTAAAAGATTTAAAAATAAAGTAAGTAATAGGTTTATTTGATTATATTTGTAAAAGTTACTTAGCATTTGTGCTTAACAGTGGTACGTTATTCGGTATTTTTTTTTATACAAAAATAAATGTTTGGAAAATAATTGCCATGAATATGATTGCACTATTTGCAATACCTACTAGGCTGGTAGCAGCACGCTTGATAGGTGGACGTACTCTTCATTCGAGCTTTACACTACTCATAAAAAAGGGTCAATCACAAAGTATTTGACCTGTTATATGTGAACGCTTTAAAAGAAAACTACAAAGAGAACTATAAATTGATAATAAATGAGATTGCTATGGTGCTCTAGGTACCTAACATTATGAAAATTTTATTATGCGCCTTTAGTTTAATCAAATATTATAAACTTTGCTTTGGTGATTGCATAATTATTTAATTTAGCGATCTAAGGCAGTTGCCACCATTGTCCAAAACAACAGACGGGAATTACTGCTTTCTTCAATCTGCGACATAAACGTCATTGATTGACATTGTATATACATATAGTGCAGTCATTGAAGCGAAAAATACGGTCTTACCTCCAAATTTTTTAACTGTGAACCGATTTGCATGAAATTTTGGAATTAGGCTCATCTTACCCTTAACTTCAAAATGAAAATGATCTGAACTCCGCCTATTATTTTTAAGGAGTGTAAACAACCCCTTAATGGAAAAATTGACATTGAGCCATTTTATCGCTAGAAAACATGTCTAATAGTAAGTGGTGAAATTGTAAAGTATTTTCTAACTTAATTACCTCATATTAAAATCATTTTCAACCCATTGAAAATTGAAAAAATCCCAAAAAAATACTTTGATATGACATAAAAAGATGTACCTAAGTATAAAGTTAAATATTTTATATTCTCTATAATAATTATCAAATTTTTAACCCCCTTTCATCCCTTGAAAACTACCCCTTGATAAAAAATTGTATTTTTTTTTTTGATAAAATGAAAAGGATTTAAATATTATTCCACACTCTCGAAAATGATTATCATATTCTTAAGCTTTTGTACCCTTAAAACTACCCCTAAATTAAAACAGTAAATATATATGATTACATATTTAAAAATAATTTAATGTAGAGTAAAAATTGCCATTTATTGAATAAAATATTTACAAATTATTTAAAATTGTACTATTATTATTAAAATATAATATTATTATTCATGACTCAATGTCGGAGTCGCTGTCACATTCAACATTTTCTGGCTGAATTGGAGGGCTATTTTGGCAGTTATTTCCACTGCACGTTCCACAGGTACTATTACAAAACAGACCAACTTTTCTGCATCCCCAAGACGCTCCACATCCTTTTATATTATGTATATATATACACATTACAATAGTTGTGGGTCTCTATTATACTGCGTACTTTCACATTGCTCCAAATATTCACACTCCGAAATTTTCAGTTACTAAGTAGAAAAAAATATGATAAGTTTTTGGACCATAACTCCTTCAATTTTCATGCTTCCCAATATATAAAAAACCATTGTAAAGGTAATTAAGAGAGCTACAACATCCTTCATTGCAATATATAGTAAAAAACCTTTTTCTAAAACGGTGAAGGGTTAAAGGGCTTAAGAGAGGCTGTGATTACGCTGCCACGCGCTCTTTAAACAATCAATCTCCGTCAGTTTTTGTTTGACAGAAAAAACAAACAAAACCAAATACCTAAATTTTTAATCCGTACACTTTTATATGTATCTGTCGTCATTTTTGAGATATTATGAAAAAAAAGTGAATTTTTTAAACATTTGAAATTTTGTTTTTTTTAATCGTGACTTTTTTGAAAAATACGTGTACTGAAGCAGCTAAACTGATATTATCTATCAAACTCTTCATAACAAAGTTAATTCTAGGCGGAATACGATTAATTTTAATTTTGGTGGAAATGGCATTTATGAAACCCATTGATTTAAAATAAAAAACAGTAGATGCTCCCCTTATTTGCAATACAGCTCACTTATTTTACGTGCAAAAGACTTTTAATAGTGCTCATTTTAAAGCTTATTTCAAGCACTACAAAACCTTTTTGTATTAGAATGCATAAAATGCATCTGCTCGCCGCTAGATGGCATTGACCACATCGATTAAATTTCAGACAAAATAAGAAACGGCTTTGATCTTTAATATCTAGCTTAATATTTCACTTAGAATACTTTATAAAAAACCAAATTGTTCATTGTTTTACCTGCTACAATTTTGTTCTTTATAAAATTTTCGATAAAACGTATATTTTTGGAGATATTTGCAAAAAACCGATGAAAAACGTGAAAAAATTGCGAATTTTCAATTGCCAATAACTTGAAAAGTATTGGATTTTTTGAAAAACTTTATAGATGATTTTTTGCTTAAAATTAGGGCTTCTATCGATATCCGAGGTTATTTTAAAAAAAATCACCCCCTAGAAGGGTTGGCAACCACCCCCAGGGTGGTTGCGGAGTTCAAATCATTTTCACTTTTGAAGTTTAGGGTAAGATGAACCTAATTCCAAAATTGTATGCAATTCGGTTCACAGTATAAAAATTCAGATCAATAATGCTTCAATGACTGCACTAATAGGGTGATTAACAACATTTGAAGTTAACGTCTGCCATCTACATATTGGGTTTCTGTGAATTATGTAGGTATATGAAATTATGAGACTAGGATATGACACTGCATTTGAGTATATCACATTCTTAGAGCCGGACGTTGACATGACAATGCAGCCACTGCCAATTTTAAATAGTCGACGAATAAAAGTAAATGAATTTTATATTTACTGCTAAACTACTAAAAAGAACATAAACAAAAGATGACTTTTTGAATAAGTGCTAGTTTACTATAAAATTTTCGTACATGAGATATTTATGTAACGACTTGATTAACTTCACACATTTTTGCGAAAATTGGCCCATCTGTAGCCTTGACCCCGCTGATAAAGTCTCTATATGTCTTCATAAATCAATTTTTTAGACCACCGCTAGATACTTAATAATTCCCGCGATATTAATTCCCTTACTGAAGTAACAAGACTACGGTATATACCGTCTTAAAATACTAACTAACTAAAAAGTGTGAAATAAAAAACGTACATTTAAAAAAACCCGACTGCGTAATTATACTTCTAATAAAAACTTAAAAGAAAAAAACAAGTCCTGTAGTCTATAATTCTCTTAATAAGGAACAAAGCTACTTTAACAGTCGGGACTATTATTAAAAATATTATGTATTCTTGAATATCTAATGGGTCCCGGCTGTTAAAGTAGCTTTGTTCCTAATTGAGAGAATTATAGACTACTGGACTTGTTTTTTTTTCTTTTAAGTTTTTATTTGAAGTATAATTCCACAGTCGGGTTTTTGATTTTTTAAATTTACCTTTTTTTAGTTTATTATACTCATGTAGTTCCCACGAGTAGCGGACAACTAAACGGTCGACCTCCTCAGAGGTTCGTGTGAGGAGGCAAGGCTACTTACAACCGCGTGCCGTCCTGTGCCCTGAGCTGAAGCTTGCGATATGAAATTTTTAACCCCCCTCATACCATTCATCCCTCGGCACGTTTCTCATCTTGGCTTGGGTGATATCTGTTTTTATTGCCCCCTTTAACGTGATATAAACAGAATATATTAAGATGAATGTAATGAGCACCAACTCGATAAATTTACTAGTAGCAGTCTAGGGCCGATCAGCCACCTTCCAGTCCATCGTCAGGTCCTCGTCATCAGTAAAAATGAACAGAATACGTTGAGACGAATCTAATGAGCCCAAACTCGATACGTTTACCAGTAGGCAGTCCAAGGTTCCATCAGTCACCTTCCAGTCCCATCATCAGACCAGCTCAATGGTACCATAATATTGTATTGTCTTCTACCCTACGTATAATTGGCAAGTATCATAATGATACAAAAATTAAAATGCGTGTAATAAGATGCTTAGATTTTATTACATAGTTACAAGTCGATCTAATAAAAGTGTGTAAAAAAACCGGCGAAGTGCGTGTCGTGCCACGCGCAGTGTAGGGTTCCGTAGTTGCCTGTAGTTACCACAATATGTTTGAGAAAATTAATTACTATCAATTTATGTATCTCAACTAAAATATCTAATTCAAAGTCAAACTGCGTCTCAAACTCAAAATTAATTCGATATTATTATGTTTTTAAATACGAATGATAACCGCCGATTTTTTTGTTTCCTTCCAGGCGAGGAAGTGGGTATGAAATCCTCATGGATACCCTACAGCCGGCTGCACGGTTATGTCAGACTCTTACTGACTACATCATACCAATAGTTTAGCTTTTAGAGGGAGGTGAGGGGGCTCTTACAACGTACGTTCAATGTATAATGAACATAATTCTTTCCGAGATAGGTAATAAGAAGACCGCATCCAACACTAATTTATCAGCTCTAGAAGGAATACTTATGTGCATTACATTGCGGAGGTAAGGTTGAATTATTTTGTTATTTTACAGTTTCTGAATGACGCTTCTATTGCGCTTCGACTCTGCGCTAGCATAAATTGACCATTACCATATAGGGGGAGCCACGATCACGATCCTCAGTAATGAGGAATACGACGCAATTTTGGGAGAGGAGAGCAATTTATGTTAGTTATGATGTAAAGATTACCTTTGTTAAGTAAGATTATAAAACGTTATGTAAAAAACATTACCCAACAAATCAACCCAACCGAAGAGTACCTCGCGCTTGTATCGCACCATTGGCCATGAAACGAACTCAGTTTCCAGCGAATTTATACCTCCTGCCTTCGATGAGCTGTGAACAAATTATTAAGGTAACCTCACAGTTTTATAAAGGAAAAGCTACAAACATGTTCAAATAAACAACAATAATTGAAAAACGGTAAGAGTTGGAATAATAAGTTTAAACAAAAAATTTAGGGAATTTAGTAATAAACAAAAAAGCACTTTACAATTTTTTCCGTTAACTAAATAATTTCGCGGTAAACGCGTTTTCCAAATTATGGTGGTCAGTTGTGACCACCCTATATTCCCTGATTACGACCTACCTTAACATCTCTAAAAAAGATAGAGTGCGGCAAAATTTTTTATTTGGCTTTACTCTATTGCTTCGGCTACTATGCATATTTAGAATATTCTACATAAATAATAAAAAGTTTTACTACTTTTGTTTTCACGAACCCATTACCCACGGTAACACTAGGTTTAAGGTTAGTTTTATGAAGCTTTTTGTATTTCTTTTTGTCTAATTTATCTGTTTTTAATTAAAGATTTTTATTGTTTTGTAAAGTTTATTGTTTTTTGCACTGTTCCATTAAAAAATAAAAATAGATTTAATTGCTTCTTAAGTTTATTTAATGGGCTTTCGAAAAACACCAATATTGGTGTGGGTAAATTCGTGTGTAAGGTTATAGTAATGCTTGAAAGTTATTTTTGCGGAGATGCGATTTTTTTGACGCCGTGTGTACTTACTTCTACAACTCGTTTCTGAATGTATCGCACTAGTTATTAGCGTAGGTCAAGTCCAATCGCGTAACGTATGGAGCAGTTTACTGGTCGACTATTATTTTTTAAAACCGCGGCAGAAGATCACCTTAGAGATGCACAGATGACATCCGGCAACAGGCTATTTTAAAAACTGTTTACTATTATCAAAAAAATTACATGACACTCACTCAACTTCAGATAGCTTCTCAACTTCATAAACGGTGTGTGTACAGCCGAGCTCGCAGGCGCACCGTGTGACGTCCATAATGGCTTCCGCGTGTCGCGCTATGCAGTCCAACTCGTGAACAGTGCATCTTTTGTAGCCTTCTACAAATTGAAATATTATAATATATTATGGTCCATGCTGTGCAAGGAAAATTAGAAATCACAAAATAATCAATAAGGCAGAAAATTTTCTTACTTCCTTCCGCCGTAGCATGTAAGTAAACGTTCATATCTTCTTTTAAGACAAACTTGTCAGCGGCAAGAAAGTTTCCTACTCTTAAGTCTAACTGCAGGTTTAATGTCGCTTATCGGTACTTCGTTTCATATAAACACTGTTTAATTAACCAGTTAAAAAATCTCTGTAATTTATCACCACGTGGCGCAAATGCTAACTTTGAAATGTACCTACTTACTCGTGTCAGGGTAAAAATGCGGTACACATTTGCAGTACGCCCTACTCCTGCGCATGCGGCACTGCCTCATGCAATTGGTATACGTGTAGATAGGCGATGTATCTAGTTTCTGCTCGTCCGCGAACACACAACGGCGTTGACGGATCGACAACTGGCGAGCATCCTCAGTTGTGTAGGTGTGCTTCACTGAAAACGACACTTTTTCTACGCGACGATCCCACGACAGTTGAGCACTTTGCTCTAGACCGGCGACCTCTTCGGTTGAATGAATGTAAATCTGCGAATAATATTATGTTAGAAGTGGTTTTTAAATATTATAGTTTAACAAAGTTTTTATGCCGTGTGTATGCCGGCCTAGAATAGCACCACCCCTCTCGTCCCATGGGTGTCGTAAAAGGCGACTAAGGGAGCACAGCCAGCAGAAGATGAGCAGCAGCGTCTTGTTGCAATATATTGGCTGTACTGCGATCGCCAACCCGCCTGCCAAGCGTGGTGATTATGGCAAAACCCCCTCAAGAAATGTATACCACAATTAAAGATTTGCCCCCAGTCCCAGGCAGCCCTGCTAGTCCTAGTCACGGTAGCAACTATGGTAGTGAAGGTCGCGGGAAGCCGATGGACGCGAGTGGCGCAGGACCGATGGACGCGAGTGGCGCAGGACCGATTGGGGGAGGCCTATGCTCAGCAGTGGACGTCGTACGGCTGACATGATGATGATGATGAACAAAGTTTTTATAGGTAGACAGTTTTCGAAGTCGACTAAGCATCTTTATAATTTCTTCTTTCTTTTTTTTTCTTTGAGATCCGAGCAATGTTAAGTAACTACTTAACATGCTACATCTACGGCCACTTTTGTCTGAATATATGGGCTTAAATAAGGGACTTGGTCATAACGTATTTTATTTACAAGCGTAGACCTGCGGATCTGTCGCCTTACTAACATTGCTTTAAAATTGATATAGATTGTGACGTCACACTGTCATTAGGGATCGCCTAAAGGGGCCCGTTCACGATCCTACATTGCAGTCCGCCGTGCAGGACTCAAGACGCATCTTGCTTATTGTTGCCGGACGCCATGCAGGCTGCAACATTCACAATCCTGCATATAGGGGCGGACCGCCGTGAATGGGCCCCTTAAGAAAGCAATTTTGCCTTCAAATTACATAAAATATCTGACCAACAGCTTTTGTATAAGTATTCTCAATTACTAACTATACGAATTAGCAATGTATTATTTAAATTAATTACATTATTAAAATAACGATGCCATTGTAATTAGAACGTTTACTCACGTCAATGGTAGTGTCATTTCGATATGAATTAAAAAGGAATGACCATTTTGCATCTGTCTCATGAATAAAGGCTTCTACGAACTGATCTGGTAGAGCTTGTGTCTGCCTGAAATTAGTTTATTAAAAAAAATAAGAATCTTTCCGTCATGTTGTTTTTTTAATGCAAAAACAATATAATTGACACCACATTCCGTAACAATAACTAGCTGAGTTAGTAGAATACAAAATAGTATCACTTATTTATGATATTTTTAACAATAAGAATTCTTCTCCATAAATATTTTCGGACATTAGATACAGATTGATGTCGATTCTGGCATGATTCTCTAAAGCTAAACTTTAATTTGACAACAGTGCATCCTTGTCCTTCTCTATACAGAATTAAAAGGTGAGACTGATGTTAAATTTATTTTTAAGTATAGAGAATCACGCCGGAATCGACACCATTGTTAAAGAGATTGATTCATACCAAGGCCAAGTCTTTTCAGCATGACGGGAATTAAAAGAATAGCAGAATCCCATCTCAGTGAACACTGGTACAAGTAAATCGCAGCATTCCTCCGAGTCGCCTTTGAATTCGCAATCGTAAAACAGTTCATCGCAGCGTCGTACAATCTATCAAATCATTAGAAATTACTTATAAACAAATGGAGTATTAGATGAAGACCAAAAAACGATAATAAAATTGAAGTCATTCACAGTAGTACAGTCATTGAAGCGAAAAATACGGTCTTACCTCCGAATTTTTTTACTGTGGACCGATTTGCATGAAATTTTTGGAATTAGGCTCATCTTACCCTTAACTTCAAAAGTGAAAATGATCTGAACTCCGCCCATTATTTTTAAGGGGTGTAAACAACCCCTTAATGGAAAAATTGACACTGAGCCTTTTTATCGCTAGAAAACATGTCTAATAGTAAGTGATGAAATTGTAAAGTATTTTCTAACATAATTACCTCATATTAAAATCATTTTCAACCCCTTGAAAATCTTACAACCCTTGCAAACAACCCCTAAATTGAAAAAATCACAAAAAAATACTTTGGTATGACATAAAAAGATGTAAGTATAGAGTTAGTAATATTTTATATTCTCTATAATAATTATATAATTTTTAACCCCCTTTCAACCCTTGAAAACTACCCCTTGGTAAAAAATTGCTAAAATTATTTTTTTGATAAAATGTAAAGGATTTAAATATTCCACACTCTCGAAAATGATTATCATATTTAAGCTTTCCAACCTTTAAAACTACCCCTAAATTAAAACAGTAAATATATATGATTACATATTTAAAAATAATTTAATTTAGAGTAAAAAATTGCCATTTATTGAATAAAATATTTACTAATTATATAAAATATTACTATTATTATTAAAATATAATATTATTATTCATGACTCAAGGTCGGAGTCGCTGTCACATTCAACATCTTCTGGCTGAATTGGAGGGCTATTTTGGCAGTTATCTCCACTGCAAGTTCCACAGGTACTATTACAAAACAGACCAACTTTTCTGCATCCGCAAGACGCTCCACATCCTTTTTTGCAATTGCAAAAAATCATTTTCAGCAGTTCTTGTGGTGTGGGTGGATCTACAGACTTAAGTGGATTTAATAAACCGTCATTCATGACCCACCCCCAATCCGTTGGATGAATAATGATGATGATGATGATGATGAAATGATGAAATGTGTTATATATACATATAAGAATATTGGTATGTATTCATGCCTACGTTTCCAAAATATATGAGCCATATTATGTATATATATACACATTACAATTTAATTTAGAGTAAAAAATTGCCATTTATTGAATAAAATATTTAGTTACTAATTATATAAAATTGTACTATTATTATTAAAATATAATATTATTATTCATGACTCAAGGTCGGAGTCGCTGTCACATTCAACATCTTCTGGCTGAATTGGAGGGCTATTTTGGCAGTTATCTCCACTGCAAGTTCCACAGGTACTATTACAAAACAGACCAACTTTTCTGCATCCGCAAGACGCTCCACATCCTTTTTTGCAATTGCAAAAAATCATTTTCAGCAGTTCTTGTGGTGTGGGTGGATCTACAGACTTAAGTGGATTTAATAAACCGTCATTCATGACCCACCCCCAATCCGTTGGATGAATAATGATGATGATGATGATGATGAAATGATGAAATGTGTTATATATACATATAAGAATATTGGTATAGAAGAATGTCATTTTGTATAATACAAGCCTGAGAACAAAAACTATAGTCTACACTACAGCTCTACACCGAAGCGAAGCGAGGGCGGGCCACTAGTATATACATATAAGAATATTGGTATGTATTCATGCCTACGTTTCCAAAATATATGAGCCATATTATGTATATATATACACATTACAATTTAATTTAGAGTAAAAAATTGCCATTTATTGAATAAAATATTTACTAATTATATAAAATTGTACTATTATTATTAAAATATAATATTATTATTCATGACTCAAGGTCGGAGTCGCTGTCACATTCAACATTTTCTGGCTGAATTGGAGGGCTATTTTGGCAGTTATTTCCACTGCACGTTCCACAGGTACTATTACAAAACAGACCAACTTTTCTGCATCCGCAAGACGCTCCACATCCTTTTATATTATGTATATATATACACATTACAATAGTTGTGGGTCTCTATTATACTGCGTACTTTCACATTGCTCCAAATATTCACACTCTGAAATTTTCAGTTACTAAGTAGAAAAAAATATGATAACTTTGGACCATAACTCCTTCAATTTTCATGCTATCACAATTTTTGAAAAACCGTTGTAAAGATAATTAAGAGAGCTACAACATCCTTCATTGCAATATATATTAAAAAACCTTTTTCTAAAACGGTGAAGGGTTAAAGGGCTTAAGAGAGGCTGTGATTGCGCTGCCACGCGCTCTTTAAACAATCATATCTCCGTCAATTTTATTTTGACAGAAAAAACAAAAAAACCAAATTGTTTGTAAGAAAAATACCTAAATTTGTAATCCGTACACTTTTATACGTATCTGTCGTCATTTTTGAGATATTATGAAAATAAAGTGGGTTTTTTAAAAATTTGAAATTTTGGTTTTTCTTTTAATCGTGACTTTTTTGAAAAATATGTGTCCTGAAGCAGCCAAACTGATACCTATCTATCAAACTCTTCATAACAAAGTTAATTCTAGGCGGAATACGATTAATTTTAATTTTGGTGGAAATGGCACTTATGAAACCCATTGATTTAAAAGAAAAAACATTAGATGCTCCCCTTATTTGCAATACAGCTCACTTATTTTACGTGCAAAAGACTTTTAATGGTGCTCATTTTAAAGCTTATTTCAAGCACTACAAAACCCTTTTGTATTAGAATGCATAAAATGCATCTGCTCGCCGCTAGATGGCATTGACCACATCGATTAAATTTCAGACAAAATAAAAAACGGCTTTGATCTTTAATATCTAGCTTAATATTGCACTTAGAATACTTTATAAAAAACCAAATTGTTTATTGTTTTACCTGCTACAATTTTGTTCTTTATAAAATTTTCGATAAAACTTATATTTTTGGAGATATTTGCAAAAAACCGATGAAAAACGGGAAAAAATTTCGAATTTTCAATTGCCAATAACTTGAAAAGTATAGGATTTTTTGAAAAACTTTATCGATGATTTTTTGCTTAAAATTAGGTTTTCTATCAATATCCGAGGTTGTTTTGAAAAAAAAATAATTCACCCCCGAGAAGGGGTGACAACCACCCCCAGGGTGGTTGCGGAGTTCAAATCATTTTCACTTTTGAAGTTAAGGGTAAGATGAACCTAATTCCAAAATTGTATGCAATTCGGTTCACAGTAAAAAAATTCGGAGCAATAATGCTTCAATGACTGCACTACAGGTCATATTCTAAAACTAGGATAATAGCCTAGGTCATATTCTAAAACTAAGATATTCCTATGGGAAAAAAAATAACTTACTTTTAAAACTGCATCCTTTGGATTGATCAAAGAATCTAATTGGGCTTTGCCCGACAAATCCGCTTCTCCGAGAAATTGACTAGCATGTTCTGCTATAGATTGGTAACTAAGCGTGGCTAGCCATCGAAGCAAAACATCTATGCCGTCCGGAGGATTTTCGCCCCAAACACTGTTCATTGTAATTGAGCATAAAATTAATAAAATATACGCGAAGTTAAAATTTTTGCTTAGGTTAATCGTTTATCAACATATTGACCAATATATGCCCACAACTTTCTTTTTTTTGGTTCCTTATGCCCCCTGATTCGAAAACGAAACAAACAACGCACTTTCGTTGATGGTCATTAACTTCCACATTTTGATCGAACACTGCATCCTATCACCGTATTTAAGAAAAAGGTACATTTTGCAAACTGTGATTGATTGCATTGTCTACGTTACACTATTTGTTTGGTTTTGAGTCAGTGCAAGTTTTGACTTTATTTCAGTGGTCAAAAATCAACGCGTCTCCTTCAAAAAAGAAAGAAATTATCCAAAACAGCCGAAATTCACGATTTTTGTATGTTCTAAAGTTAGGAGTGTGCAGGATATATATATGTAATTATAATGAGTTAATTATCATATAAGAATACCTGAAAAGTGAATAAATAATTTCGAAAACGATACACTGGAAAAATATACGGTATGAATTATACTAAACATGTGTTTTGTATTAAGAGTAACATTGACAACCAATGAAATAGTCGAAATTGTCAATGATTTGAACTTGAGCGATGAAGTGTCATACTACCACGCATTAAATAAATTAATCCATCGCATTAATTTCAGATTCAGATTCTGGCGTTGAGATAAGTGTAAGATTTGAAAAGTTATCAGTAACATCAGAACTTCTGGGACCTGACCAACTGGTTCACGGTGTTAATAATGATGACAGTGAGTTTGAAGAAGATGATGATTTTCCGCTTTTGAGGTACTTACATACCAAACTAGACGAGACCGAACATGAAACTGAAAATGCCCTAATTGAGTCAACCACGATGGCCATAAAACCGTACGTGGGTAAAACCAGAGTTAGCTATAATGGATAATGAGTGGATCACTCCACCTTCACCTTGGTAACTGTATCAGAAGCTTCTGACCCAATTTTTTTTCTATTTTGTAAACAATGCAATACTCGTCGCAATAAACGTTCGCAATGATGTTGACATGTAGGAATTTCGACGTAGTATTGTCCGAAAACCCTTTATAACAATATAAAGAAAAAAAAAAGTATTGTCCGAACTTTACTTCAAATGTACTTCATTTATAAGCGGCGCGGTTCTTTCAAAAGGGTTTTATAACTATTTCTTCCTTCAATCCGAAATTATAATACTGAGCATATGATCTATTTTTTGTGCATCAAAACCGGACGGTCACTTCGTTTCAAAAGTGTCAAGTCCATGTACACTTCAATCTTTTAATTGCATTAAATTCTTTAATTTTAAGTAATTCAAATAACGTTATATTAAACGTGATTTCTCATTTTAATAATTAATAAAATAAATATGCCTATAAAATATAATATAATGTAGGGGGAGTGCCTGATGTTTCGTTTTTGAACAATAAAAAAAGTACTTATCTAATTATGACCTTGAATAAAGAAGATATATGTTAATAAAGACATATTAGCATTAACATACCCAAAATTTACAAAAATTGGAAGTCAAAATAGTTCTGGGCATAAAGGGGTACTGTTCGTTTTCGAATCAAGGGGATATATCTGTTAAGTCCAAACGTCAGTCGACAGACTTAATATGCTGACACAGGCATTTTGTATTTTGTCATACTAAGCACTAAAAGTTGAACTTGTTCTATAAGTAAAGAAAAATGAAATATATTTTTAGAGAGGTATTTTCTGGGGTAGTACCCCAGGGGTACCTCAATACTTTGTGACTTTGGCACTGGGTAAAACATTTTTTTTATTAAAGTTAATCTAGGAATATTATTATTTATTAACTTACCTTTGAATGTATTCTTGAAGAAGTTCTTCACTAACCGGATTGGTATCACACATAGTTACAGCCGGAAATGGAACATCCCAGTTATGAAAGTCCGTGTCCAAACCTAAAGCCATTAACAATATACCGACATTACGCAATTTACATATTTAAAGTAATGGAAAAAAATATATGAAAAGACTATATTTTACCAGTGATAGTGGGATTCGTTTGAAACTTTTCCCACAAACTGACAATAATGATGCAAGTTGTCACTGCACCCACGGCCGTAAAGCTAAACCACATAAACCTGTAAGAAAACCATATTGAGGAAATCATGATAACTGTTAAAGTATTATTAAAATTAAAATTTATGAAACTACCAACGAAGGCAATACGAGATTAACTTTCATAGTATAAACTTATTATTTTCCGTACCTTAAAACTTAAAGCTAAGGCTAGAATCACACTCTTCTTACAAGCTATTTACACAAATTATTTTCTTCAATATCTAAATAATAGTATCCACATTAAATACATTTAGTAACTAATAGATAGCCAAAGTGGAGAGATCTTGGCCCCTGAATCGTTGCTACAAACACAAAATCATTTGTTGTAACAAATATTTTTTTAAATGTACCTAATAATGTTTATTGGACTCACTTCTCGCAAAAAGGTCTTTCTTTTTCCGCGATGTAACGCACGCCATGTAAAGTGGAATTATTGAAAAACTCCGTAGTCTGATGTCTGAGGCTTGTAGCCAACAGAGATAAGGTGCCGCCATCTGAGGGATTTTCCTTATTTTTTAACTTTCCATTCCGGAAATTGCTCCTGACACGAAGTTTACTATCGGGGTGCACTTTCATAGTGTCACTTTTCACGTTCATTCATCGAAAGGATTTTATCGTAACCAAACATGACCAACGTCAGAAATTTTCTAATGTACACTGGACATGACAGAGATGGTATCGAAATTATCGACCCCTAGTTGCGTGACACATTGCAAAGCATGATATTATTCGATTTAGCCCTCTAATTGTCTATTGTTATCTATTGGTATTATCACCAATGGCTACCAAACATTGAAAAAATATAGTTTGTGATAATGACAAATATTCTCTATTAAATGCCCTACATATTACACGATCATATACCTGATAAACTTTGTTATTTGATGGGTTGCTTGAAACTTCATATTACGTACTAAGCTCTATTTCAGCACAGGTTTCCCCAGTTGCTTTAACACAAGTTTACCTTTTACGAAATTCCAACGTACCAGATTTTGTAAGATTAAATAAATAGAAAAAAACAAGTAATGTGCCCTATTTATCGTGCAGCTTCTTCAGACGCAGTCTCGGCACAGTATAAATAACGATCTGTTTTAAGTTTCACAGGACTCTTGGTAAGGTGAAGATGTCTGGAGCGGCACACTTTCTGCCGGAACAATTATCTGCGGTAGTAGGTAGGAAGATAAAGAGAGGTATGGCATAGCGGATTTTCTGCTCGAATTGGAACGCCCGTCTGTGGAAGTGACCTCTACTATACAGAAGACTACAGTATAACAACAAACTACCTCTTGGTGGTGTTGTTTCTGTCGGTGAGTAAGGTTTCAGGGCTCCACGGGGTAGAAGGATTGGGTCAGGGTAGGCAACGGTGCGAGTGATAGTTTTTGTATCGCAAGCTTCTATAAATGATTGTTAACCAACCTTTTAATTTAAAAAAGGTAGGTAATTGAAGAAAGTCAAGTCACTTTTTGTTAATTTCCAAAATTTTAATTAATAAAATATTAAATAAAATCACAATGATAAATCTAAATAGGTAGGTAAAGATATTTAGAATTCACAGTGCACTCATTACAGTAATATTCTTCTTTGAAGATTCTGGTTCTTCTTTTTCTTGGGGTAGAAGAGGTTCGATCTTGATGTCTAGATCTTTTAGAGCATCATCAAGTATTTTGATCTTTCCCAGTAATTTTTCTGCCTGAAGATTGTATCCGGGCTCGAGCATTTTGCCGCTAGGATTCATTTTGAACAGGTATTCAGCCTGAAATCCAAGTAGATAGATTGTAATCCAAGTATAAAGCATAATAAATGAGTGGCGGGTTATGGGTCGCAGCATGACTGAGGGCGCAACGAAGCTTCGTCTGCGTTAGAATGGTAGTCCCGCATACTTTCATACCAATGGTTTTAATTTCGCAAACAAATATAGCAAGCGCTCGGTGGTAAGTGGCCGCCACAGCCTAGAGTCGCTTGCGATACCAGATGATCACTCGGTGCGTTGCTTATCTGGTCCTATCTCAGTAGAGCCCTGGAATCTTTCTCATCGATAGCAACCCAACACGATGAAAGGGTAAATATCTTCTGTAAAGTGAAAGCTACTTCCCCAGACGAACGCTCCAATAGAACCGGTAAATCAGCTATGCCCTACCTCACTTGCAATGTTATGCTTCACTGAAGTCCTCTTTGTTTCTGCTTTAATTACTCCTCATTATGTAATGATAATGATGATGAATAATATGAATGTGCTTCAGAAAGCAAGTAAAGCTGATCCTAGCTGCGTATGGAGTCGTTAGGAATCATCAATGCACACTGGGCCTGTGTGGTGTGTCATGGTCTAATCACCCTATTTTAACCACAGGAAAGGTCTGTGCCCCATTAGTGGGGACATTATTAGGCTGAGATGATGATGATGTACCAAGAAATCAACAGGATCTTTGGGGCGCAGCTTGGCTACTTCAAGCAAAGCTTGTGTAAGTGTCGGGAAGATGTGGTGCACTAAATAGTTTCGCATCGGTTCACCCGCCGCCGCCAGCGCAGCTTCCTCTTCTTCGCGCATCAATGCGTAAAGCTCAGTCTGAAAATCAGTCTAAACTAAGTAAAAATAAAATAGTATGAAGCAAGTTAGTTACTTGCCTTTTTATTCGACTTCAAATGGGAGGAGATTCTTAATTCGTCAGTAGGTTTTTTTTTCTTTAATGCCATTTAGATATTAATAAATACAGTCGCCATCAGATATATCTGAGCATACAAGGTGACCAAATACATCTGAACAGTTAAAATGTCATTAAGTTCTATACGCTACAAGTGACCATAAATATCTGAACATTCATTACTTCAATAATATCTGAGCAGATGCCTGTCAATAATATCTGAACATACAACTTTTCAATAATATCTGAACACGTCAATGATTATGTATCTACGCAGATCATGCACTGGGCTTACATATTTTGTTACTACGTGATTGAAAGGATGAACTAAAAACAAAGGCTAAATATAAGGAATAAATACGATGAGAAGGGAATAAAAATCTATCAGAAAATCATTCGTGTAGGTCACCACGAGTAGTAGAAATGGAAGATGCATAATTTTTTCTCTATTTATTTTTTATAATTAACGAGAAGTTATGTTTTTATTTTATTCTATAGATTAAATTCTCAATATCTCCTTAGAAATTTATTTAACCCGGCGTCAGCACAGTCAAAATATGCATCAACGACAGTAGGGTTGGGTCGAGAGGACCCGTATAAGAAAACGCCATAATTACAAAAGTTAAAATAAATTTGGTATGTGGTTGTACTATCTGTATAAAACGATTATCGTTATAGGTTTTGAGTAGAAAAAAACACAACATGATACGAAACTATCTTTTTAATGCCATTTTCATAAAAGTGTCACAAAATATTAACAAAATGGACAACCTCTGTCTTAAAGTAATAAAATTTTAACAAAACATTTTTTTTTATAAAACATAAACTAATTTGTTACATGTTAATCAAATCTTTAGTAAACTAATAATATTATACTATTTGTATCAGTCTCATACGTCAGTCATAGTATCCTTATCATCTGCGCAATCTCGGCAGTACAACATTGCATGGTCACTGCAGATGTATTTGCATATACAGCTCCGAAAATTATTAGTTTTCTATCTTTTTTGGCAGAACAGTCTTGGCATCTCTTTCTTACATAAAGTATCTTCACAGGTGGCTCCTCATCAGGTACCTACTCCTAAAAACTCTCTTATTCTTTTGCGTATAAGTCTTAGCAACTGAATGACATCTTTACGATTGCGCAAATGCTCACGAACCAGTATAAGGCTTAAGTTTCTTTAGAAATTGGCGTTATGTAATATGTACGCATTTATTTCAGACATATTTGCCAAAAATAACAAAATAAACAATATAAAACAACAATAAAACATTTTTTTAAACGGCGCAAAATTACGACACGAATAGTATGGTTGGGTCATATTTACCTTTTTCGTGTTTGGCCGTGTCTATCACTCGCTGCGGCCGCAACACGACTGATTGGCAAATCCCACGTGGAGGGGGGGACCATTAGCTCCAGCTACTGAGAAGTTTGGCAAAGTCGCACAAACATTTTAAGAAACACGCTCATTTGAAAACTGCTCGGGTCAAATAGACCCAACTGTGCGAACGCCGGGTTAAAAATAAGACAACTGCGTTTTTTAACCGCAATAGAAATAAGTAATAATTTGGAGGAAACATTTGTCCCACTATTTCCATTGCAGTGGAAAATGGAATTCTGTACTTGTCATGCTCAAACTGGGCGCCATCCTTACAAAAATTTTATTTACTGTCTGAGTGGATGTGTTTGTTTGGTTTGGGTATGTATTATTTATAAAAGTGAAAATTAATAAAAAACAAATTTAATTCTTATAAATTTTTATTGAGTTAAATAATCAAAAATGTAAACGAATTAACTTGGTACACTACCTCAGTAGATGCTCAAGCTTAAGTATTTATTATTATAATAAAATTAATAAATTATAATCGAGATCGAAATAAAAAAAAGCAACTTCTGATACAATGAGTTTAAAATTAAATAGTAACAAAATGTTTTATTGTTATAATTATACATGAGATCAAATCAAAAAGTTATCAGGCAATTAGTAAGGTTCTTGAAATTAGCGTATTATTATTAGCTTAATATTTTCCCAATATTATCAATGCCCGTTTAGACGGGAATTTCTAACAGACGTAGACGGCCGTAACGTATATTGTCGAATTTTCAACAAAAACGCAGACCAATTAGTTATTTTGCTCACCATTTTTAGGGTTCCGTAGCCAAATGGCAAAAAAACGATATTCATACAAAAATAGAAAAAAAAACGAATGGACGTAGATTTTTTTTTTATCAAATCTTTACGTGTGGGGTATGGATAGGTCTATAAAATTGATAGGTCTATAAATTAAATATGGGACCCATTTCCACTAAATGTTGTTAGAATTCATAATGCAATAAGGTCGAAATTTTAGTTTGATAGTGTTTTGATGACATAATGACATAATGAATCGACCCTTGAAATGATAACCTCTTTATAAAATACTATTTCGTGTCAGTGTCATTGAAAAAACAGTTTAATGTGACATTTTTACAAAGTATAATTCGGAAACGGAACATAACATAACATCGGAAATGATCTTTTGCTGTCGCTTCAGATGACGTAATTGCATGGTTGCCCCTAGTAACGTAAAGTTGTCAATGGTAAACATTATGACATTGACGTTGCATTAAAATATTAGCTTTATACAGCTTGCAGCAGATTGCTACACGATATTCAAAGGTGGGGCCCAGATGAAAGCTCGTGTCTGTACATTACCATGCAAACTTCTAGCAAAAGTTGATTTGAACGAGATCAAGCAATTACCGCAATTTACATTTAATTCAATATAAAAATATTTATTTAGATAATGGTACGGAACCCTTCGTGCGCGAGTCCGATTCGCACTTGACTGGTTTTTAAATATGCATACTATTCAAATATACTGCTTATAGACATGTTTTCTCCTGCTAACCAATCTACAGTACAGACACGAATTATGAAATCTTGCAGATCCATGTTATTGTAAGCTGCCTTTTTATGATTTCATTTTTGACCATCATCATTTGCATGCCCTTTTCCCAATTCTATATGTGGTCGACGCAACATGTCTTCCGCTTCCATTCTCCTCTATCACTCGCAATATCAACACTCACTCCCTTACTGGCCATGTCCTCATTCACACAATCTATCCATCTTTTTTTCTTCGGTTTCCTCTCCCCGGGTAACCCTCCACTCTCATTATACAGGTTGGCTTATTGAAATGGGTCAGGATGGGAAAGTCTGAAACTATAATATATATGAAGATCTGTTCTTGGGAACAAGATTTTAATAAAAATAAAAACTGCATTCATTCATTTAAGAAAAACCCTGTGATCAGCACGGGAATCAAATCCGGTCGTTTTGAAAAAAAAAACTTACACTATTTCTATTTAAATATCGATTATGTAGGTCTGAAGCAGTAAATGTTTCTATTAAACGTGATGTCTCAAATGCGTAAAATGCATTTTTGTCACATAATTTAAATTATTTCAGTAGAGGTTCTAAGTGACCACCGTTTTTTTAATACAAAATTTAACACGTATAGGTAACTTATCTTACTAATAAATAGAAATAGGAAATAGTGTTAGTTTTTTTTTTCAAAACGACCGGGTTCGATTCCCCAGCTGACCACAGGGTTTTTCTTAAATGTATGAATGCAGTTTTAATTTTTATTAAAATCGATGACATAGTTCCTAAGAACAGATCTTCGTATATATTATAGTTCAAACTTTCCCATACTGACCCATTTAAATGAGCCATCTTGTATACTCTCATATTAAATTTTTGACCATTATATAATTATTTGCCGAACAAGGATTGCTGCCTGATTTTTTAAATTGCTTACAAAATCTTTTTGTGCCGACCAAATTATTTAAAGGCTGACCAATTATATACTTCTCATGAAACATTAGTATTTTGTGTAACCTCCTTCTGCATTTAATACGTCTTGTAAACGTTTCCTCATGGAACCAACTACCTTCTCACAAAAACCTCGACCTCTGAACGATTCCCAAACATCATTTGCATGTCGCCTTAAGGCTTCTGTTGTTCGACATTGATTCCCATCCCACTCTTGCACCATTTTACCCCAAAGGTTTTCGATGGGATTGAGGTCTGGACTTTTTGGTGGTAGTTTGATTAAAGTTAGTTCTCTCTGTTCATTAATCCATGTCTGTACTGTACGAGCATTATGTACTGAGCTGTTGTCTTGAAGGAATGTCATTTGTTGTTCTGGATAAAAAACTTGAGCTGTAGGAAGAAAAGTATCTTCCAGAAGTTCCTTATAATTCATTGCATTCATTCGTCCACTTATTTCCACAAGCTCACCAGGACCATCTTTGCACATCCATCCCCAAAATCCAATTGAAATACGTCCACTCCGGCGATTAGGCAGCACATTTTGTTCTAAGTAACATGTGTTTTCGGGTCGCCACAAACTTAATCGCCCATTATCTGATGAGCAGAGAACCTTTTCGTCCATGAAAATAACGTTTTGAAAATTAAAATTTAAATAATTAGCTGCAAATTGTAGCCGCTGCATTTTGTGCCTTGGCGTGAGAGTGGGTTTTTTTGCCGGTACTCTATTTTTTAAACCTCCTTCTTCGTCTTCTAATGGTGCTAGTGGATATTTTGAATGTGCTTGAAAATTGTGTAGTGTTTATAAATCTGTCATTTTTGGCTTTATCTATAATAGCTATGTCTTGGTTATTTGTAGTAATACGCGGGCGACCAAATGAAACATGATTATTTAATGTTTCTCCTTGCTGCCATCTTTCTAGCCATAAATATACAGTATTTCTCTGAAATAAATACAATTTTACACTTTGTGAATAAAGTTTCATGTTTTGTGGGCAATTGATTTTTAGCATTTTTCTCCGTGATACTTACGGCTATCCCTAGCTCATCGGCGATATCTTTTACGGTTAAACCATCATTTTTTAGTTGTATTATTTTATGTTTCATTTCCGCATCAATACGGTACGAACTCATATTAATTATAGTTAATTTATGGTATGAACTAATACGTAAGCAAGCTGCTTGAATTTATTTGTGCATGACACATGACAGAGGTGATAAGAATAAAAACTGGAAAGTGTTTAACTGCCAGCGTCATCTTATTATAAATAAATAATTAAGAGGTCCTATTAAAATTGTTCAGATATTTTTGAAAAGTTGTATGTTCAGATATTATTGACAGGCATCTGCTCAGATATTATTGAAGTAATGAATGATCAGATATTAATGGTCACTTGTAGTGTATAGAACTTATTGACATTTTAACTGTTCAGATGTATTTGGTCATCTTGTATGCTCAGATATATCTGATGGCGACTGTACATAATCAGAAATAGATCGTTAGATATTTACTGGTAAAATTTATTTATAGTTTATTTTATGTTTTCTTGAGTGAACCATTAATCCCCTTTTCCAACAATTCATTCCTTTTAAGAAATCAAATAAACGCACTGTTTCTGAATAGCCGTGTTGGTGATACAAATAGACGTAATCAGCCAAACGAAACATACCTTGTTTGTTAGTAGCTTTAAAAAAAGTATTAAATGTTATTTATTTGGCCACATACTAAGGAAATCAAACTCGACCAGATAGTATTCAAAGAGGTTTTCCTTCAGAGATGATGACGCCATTAGGGCTGATGACGCGGGGTAAAGTAGGCTGGTGACACACTGCGAGCAAGAGGGACTGGAGCTTATCATCGCCGCTGACTCCAACGCACATCATACACTTTGGGGCAGCCACGACACCAATACCAGAGGTGAGGAGTTTTCTAGCTACCTTTTCTCAACCAACTTAAAAATCATCAACAGAGGCTCTGAACCTACCTTTGTAACATCAAGAGCCCAGACAATAATCGACCTTACCCTAACCAGTGAGAGGATTGCTGAATTCATCACTGACTGGCACGTATCCGACGAAGCATCTTGCTCGGATTACAGATGGATTAGGTTTTATCTTCATATAAACAATAAATCACCAGAGCCCCGACGCATCCCACGTAAGACTGACCGCAAGAAATTCTTTTCACTAACCACGGCCAGTCTGAAGTGTCTCCACTTGCCAGCGGATTACAAAAATCCAATGGAAATAGACACACATGTGAATAACCTAACATCAACTTTAACCGTCTGTTATGAACAATCATGCCCACTAGTACAGCAACGCACAACAGCCAAAGGCAAACACAATTGGTGGGGTCCTGAACTGGAAAAGTTGCGACGTAGGGCAAGAAAGATGTTCAACAGAGCAAAAAACACCAGATTCGAACACGACTGGATCCTCTACAAGGAGGCACAGTCACGCTACAAAAAATGCATCCGATTCAGAAAGGCTGAATGCTGGAAGCGTTTTTGTAGCGACATCCAAGACAACAATCATGCCGCAAGAGTGAGGAAAATACTAAGTAGCGATCCCGAACGCAATTTAGGTTACCTCAAAAAGGCTGATAATACTTTCACAAAAACCGACGCTGAAACCTGTGAGCTGCTGATGCATACTCACTTCCCAGGCTGTAATACTAAAGACGACCAAGACTGGGAAGATGAGATATCCGCGGTTCCGGATTTAGCTGACTGTACAACTGCACGCAAAATCATTAAAATCAACACATTAACTTGGGCCATCAAAAGCTTCCTCCCTTTTAAAGCAGCTGGACTGGATGGCATCTTTCCGGGCCTACTGCAATGGTGCGAGGAATCGATAATCGAGCATCTACTGCGAATCTACACAGTATGTCTTGCCTATCGGTACATACCCACCAAATGGAGAGAGGTTAAAGTTATATTCATACCCAAACCAGGTAAAAGTGACTACACGCAACCCAAAGCATTCAGACCGATAAGTCTCACATCATTCCTCCTAAAGGTGCTGGAGAGAATGTGTGACAGGAACTTGAGAGATGATGCTCTAAAGCGTGTACCACTTCATGCAAATCAACACGCCTACAGCATGGGCAAGTCCACCGAATCCGCATTACACAACGTAGTCAGACAAATAGAACGTGGATTATCACCAAAACAATCAACGCTCGGGGTCTTCATTGACATTGAAGGCGCCTTTGATAAAACAAACTTTACCAACATCAGCCAAGCACTTGTCAGACATGGAGTCGACCCCACGACTGCGGGGTGGATCAACAACATGCTAAAATACAGAGCAATACAAGTGACTGTGAACACTACGAAGAGAGCTGTAGTGGCACGGGGTTGCCCACAGGGAGGCGTTTTATCCCCTCTCCTGTGGAACATTGTGGTTGACGAATTAATTTGCCAACTCAATCAACGCAACTACTACACAGTTGGCTATGCGGACGACCTAGTTATTCTCATAAGCGGGCCATTCCAGAATGTGCTGTGCAACTTAATGAGTAACGCTCTCAAGATAGTTGAAACCTGGTGCACTAAACACCAAATATCGGTGAATCCGACCAAAACATAGATGGTCATGTTCACGAAAAAAAGTTCCGTTAAATTGCCCAAGTTATTTAATACCGAACTGTCTATGTCAAGCGAGGTCAAATACCTAGGCATAGTTCTTGATCATAAGCTAACATGGAACAGCCACTTAGACCAAAAGGGCAATTTGGTCGTTTTGGCAATGCAAAAGATTACTTGGTAAAACCTGGGGTCTTGCACCAAAAATCACAAAATGGCTTTACACAACCATAATCAGACTACTCATCACCTACGGTGCAATAGTTTGGTGGCCTAGAACCGAACTTAACACCGCAATTAATAAACTGCAGCGTTTTCAAAGACTAGCATGCTCTGCTATAACAGGCTGCAAGAAATCCACACCCACAAACGCCCTAGAAATAGCGCTTGACCTCCCGCCACTCGACCTGTTTATACAACAGGAAGCAACTATGGCAGCGCTAAGAATGTATCAACTGGGCTTGTGGACGGATAACCAGGGACCTCACTGCAAAATTCTGGAAAGGGCTATACAATACCAACCTATGGTAACAGCCCGCTGTGATAAAATCCCGACTACTCATACATTTGATAGAAGATATCAAATAGAACTACTAGAAACCAACAAGGACTGGTCGGGCACAGACGAACTACGCATTTACACTGATGGATCCAAAATACCAGGATTCGGATCAGGCGCAGGAGTCTTCTCACTGGACCTTAACATCCATATATCAATAGCACTGGGTAATCACAGCTCAATATTCCAATGTGAATGTATAGCCATTACTCAGGCCGCCACCGCTGTCATTAATAGGAAAGTCAAAAACTACAAGATACGTATATTATCTGATAGTATGGCTGTCTTAAGAGCCCTAGATAGTAACAGCAAAACTTCTGGGCTAGTATACGAATGTCACCTAGCATTGGATAACAAGGTTATCCTCCAATGGATCAAGGGACATAGCGGTTCTGTGGGTAATGACGCAGCCGACGAACTGGCTAGAAAGGGATCATCACAGAGAGTGCAAGGCCCTGAGTCACTTCTGCCATTACCTTTCAATCAGTTTCGTACATGGGTGCGGCAACGAACCACACAGAACCATAACACCCGTTGGGCGAATACCGAGGGCTGCAGGCAATCTAAGGATATTTTTCCCAACCTCAATCCCAGACTAACTAAAAACTACTAAATCTTAACCGAAATGATCTCCGAGTAATGCTAGGCACCATAACAGGGCACTGCCCACTTAACAAGCATTTACTAACCATACGCGTTACAGATAGCTCTCTATGCAGACGATGTCTGGAAGCAGATGAAACGGCCGCTCATGTGATCCTGGAATGCACGAGCGTTGCAGAACACCGGGCATCAATCCTCAGGAAGCCGAGGACGCTCCTAGAAGCCTGTGAAAAGCCCCAGGAGGCTACTGCGCTTCTGGAAGGAGCTGGGCTGGCTGAGCTAGCTAGCCCAACATACCCTGCACGCACAATGGACCAAGTACGGAGTCTACGTGCGGAAACGGGGGCCCACAACAAGTAACAAGCGGGGTAAAGTAAACGAAATTATATTAACTCCGGCAGTTAGATTTTTTAAAAAATCATGGAAACGACTTTTTTCTATCGTTTTGCCAAAAATATAAAGTAGGTACTAACTTACCCAATATTCCATTTTTTCTTCACGTTCCTCTTTCAACTTCTGTTCCAATTCTTTCATGGCTCTAGCTTCTTTAGTACGTAAAGTCTCGATTTCCTCTCTTTCTTTCTTTTCTGCAGCTTCAATGAGTGCTAAATAGAAATCCCAACAATTTTCTTAATCCATAGAAAGTGTCCAAGTAATAAATAGATACGAAAGTAACTCTGTCTCTCTGTCTGTCACGCTTTCAAACTTAAGCGCTGTTTTGGTAAATTTAAGTTAAAGGCGAACTCGAAGAAGGTAATTTTGGTCGCGAAGTAAATAGTTATTTCCCCCTATATTATAATATCCACATCATGGGCTCTCTAGCCTTAATGACGACATCCACAGGCAGAGGGGTTGAAATAGGAGATGAGAGTTGATATGGGAAACCATTACCTATTCTACGTAGATTAATTCACACAATAAATCATAATAATATTGATTAAATTTTGAATTATAATTTATTTAGTTAATGTATATGCTCATGTACAGTATATATAGGATCTTAGATAGAATTATAGTGTGGTACATAACCCTGTCAGTGTGTTCCAAATGAAATATACTTAGACATTTTCAGAAGGCGAGCTATCCGTGACTCCTTCACTTATCGTTCATAAATCATTGTTTAAATATGACACAAAAACTCTACTTAAAACGATGAGAGACAACAGTATCAACAGCCGATTAATGCCAACAAAAAAGGCCTTACATAATAGATGGTCTGGTACGACTACTAAGTTATTAAACACCCTATAATGCAGCCAGGACCATGTAAGCAGTGAGGAACTTTTATCATCCATCCATCAATCATTTATCAACCTTCGTGACAGTTGCTAAACCTCTGCAGACCAATTACGATACTTCATCAAACTTCGCAAACTGGAAGATCTTTCTCAAGAAACAAATTACTGCTAACCCAACAGTTTTCCATAGCGGCAGGGGCGTCCCATGCGAAGCGTGACCGCAGCATACGGTGCCTTCATGGAGTAATCGGTGTGTTCCTTAACTGGCACGACCAAAGGATGTATATCAAGCTCGTCGAAGAAGTTAAGCGGTGTGACGTCACGGGTATCCCCAGTTCTGAATTCAGTCAGACGCTTCAAAACGGTTTCCTCGTCTAGTCGTGAGTCACCTTCGGGTTGCCGCATGGCCTTCTCACAAATAAAGTCATCGGTCGCCTCCAGTGACACGACAACGTCTGAAAGTTATTAACTACCTGAGTATGTTGTATTAAAAAATCTGATATGATTAAATGTAAGGCTGTTTTTACATAAAGTTCGATGGGTACGCACAAGTGCGAACTCAACTGAATGCTTACTATTAATTTCCAAATATTCTGAATAGGAAGAACGCGCGCATAACCAAAGAATTCGAAGTAAGCCTTAGAACAGAAGAATCAGTTGTTTAATTATTATGCATCAAATAGAACAAAATTCGTATGCGAATATGTCTCACTAGGATGTGATGTACATGTATCAAATTACTTAACAAATTAACACATATGTTCATGAAAACTATGTTGACCTGGTAATATTTTTCTTAAGATGTTGCTGTATAAATCGACATCTTCTTCAAACTGTTCCTCTCCATTCTCTTCGTCCGCTTCCGAGTCTTGTTCGTCAGCCTTCTCAAACACTATTGTAAAATTTTAAATGTTATTATTAATAATTTCTTATTAATATTACAAAAAAATATCTCAAATACCTATGTAATCAACTGGCTCATGTTAATTTTTCGAGTACCTACAGAGATAATGACTAACTTTTTTTCTTTGTATAACAGTACCCCTAGCACGAACCAGAATTCGAATAGTTTGCGAGGCCCAAATGTCATTGTCAAATTTTGTATGAAATCTTAAACATTAGCGCTGTAACGTACGTAACGAGAACTAAAAATCAGTACACGTTTGACAATGACATTTCGTACTCGCAAGCGTCGTATCTCTTGCGAGTACGAAATGTTCAATATTGGTTCGTGCTAAGGGTACAGGTAGATTAAATATCGTTGGTAGATTATCAATAAGTATTGGACACCTATTTTTTAAATCTAAATAAAATTATAAACATTCGCAGTTAAATACTTAAATAATAAAAATATACACTTCTGGACACATCTATTGGCCCACCTTGTATTTTCAGTTTCGTTTGGTCCTAGCTAAAATTTTATATTAGGTCGAGCAAAAAGTTTTTATGCAGTTTTGAACCTGGCACATTCACAATTTCATTCAATAGTCTTTTTTTGAATTTCGAACACAGAATTTAAAGAAAGAAAAGACAATTTGGAGCCTGTTTGTTGATATCAAACAATCGAATACTAAGAAAACTTGGTTTTATTGGTTTACTTGGATTTAATTCTTGAAAAAGTGATTGATATCTTTGGTTTTGCAACAAACATTACTTATTCTTAACATTAAGGTGAGGTTCTATCAATAATCTATGGATACTTCACCTGAAGTCGCCGCCCAAGCTGTGGCACTTATTCACGCCGGACACAGCCAAAGAAACGTGAGTGCTCAACTTAATTTAAGTCGATCTTCGGTCCGAAATGTTTATCAGAGGTACCTAGAGACTGGCAGCTTTGTTCGTCGCCAAGGAAGGCCACGATCTCGGGTCACAACTGAAAGGCAGGATCGATTCATCGTGACAACCAGCATGAGAAATCGTCACCTTACCTCCATTGAGATACAAAAACAAATTCGCGACTTCCACGGAGTATCTGTGAGCGCTCGAACTGTTCGGAGAAAGTTAAAAGAACGCGATATGGTACCACACAAGCCAGCTAATGGGCCCAAACTAACGCGAGCTCACCGAACAGCGCGCCTTCATTTCGCACGCAGTCATTTAAATTGGACACAGCAAGATTGGAGCCGTGTACTCTTTTCTGATGAGTCTGAAATTGTGTTACATGGCAATGATGGAAGGAAGAAGGTCTACCGACGTAAGGGAGAGCGTTTCGCACAATGCTGCTTTGAAGAGAGGGTTGCTTATGGCGGTGGCTCATGGACTGTCTGGGGCGGTATATCCGCGAGCGGCAAAACTCAACTTGAGGTTGTTACAGGACCACGGCTGCCAACATTAAATGCTGAAAGATACATTCGTGAGTGCTTAGAACCTCACGTGATACCATACGCGGACTATGTGGGCCCAAATTTCCTTTTTATGCATGATAATGCAAGAGCCCATGCGGCCGGCATCGTCAAGGAATATCTTCGGGATGTGAACATCACAGTTATGGACTGGCCAGCCAGAAGCCCAGACATGAACCCCATTGAGCACATGTGGGACGAGCTAAAAAGACGTGTTAGGGCTCGTCAGCCAGTTGCCCAGACGATGCAGGAGTTGAAAACTGCCATAGAAGAGGAATGGGAGATGATCCCTCAAAATTTCATAGAGCGGTTGACAAACTCTATGCCTAATCGTATGAGAGCTGTGGTAGATGCCCATGGAGGCAACACGCGTTATTAAATTAAACCTTTATTTGATAAAACATGTTTTTTATTCAAAAATCAATTGCCTTTAACAAGGCGCATATCCGACTTGTTAGGCGTAGCTCCATGTCGTATGGTATTCTGAATTCAAATTTAAAACAATACGATCGAAAAAGATGGTAAAATGTATCAGGTTTAAAACTGCATCAACAGTTTTTGTTCAATCTAGCAATCATATTTCGGTAGGGGCCATCGAAACCTAAACTCTAAGGTGGGCCAATAGATGTGTCCAGAAGTGTATAACCACGTATTTTTTTTATTACATAATCAAAACATTAGAGAAAGGCGTAAATTTATAATGCCGCATGACGTCACCTATTACAATTTTTACGTGAGAGGTGACGTTATCAAAACTTTGACGTAAGTTTTTGGTTGATTGACAAAAGAAAATATGCGTGTCCATTATTTTTTGATATTATAACTAAAGGACTAAATAGAATGTCATTTCTTTACCCCGTCATCATCCCTATTCTATCGATACTAACTAAAAACAATTACCAAAAATTGATATTTTCAGCTTATAACCCGTCATCTTCCCTATTCTATCGATACTAACTAAAAACAATTACCAAAAATTGATATTTTCAGCTTATTGTTCTTAACTAAACAACTCTATAAAATATTTTTCTTTAGGCTGGTTTATATTTCCTTATCTGGCCACAGATTACAGAAGACGCATCTACTGCAGTGCTATTCTATAAAATTTTCATTTCCCATATTTCCCTTACAGATTCGCCCATTTCCCATACAGATTCGCGCGTGAAAATATTACAGAATAGCACTGCTTGCCTAAATAAACAACAACAGTTTTGTGGCCACGAAGTCTGTAAAGGATCCGAGACTTCATCATACTTGACAGATTTCGTTTTAAAATTCATTACATTGTGCTACATAATAACGTTATACAGATTTATTTTATTATAATATTCTGATTAACAGTAGTCACTATGATTCTCAGTAGGTGGTATTACTGCTGTATAGATATAGATGATTAAATATATCAATGTATAACAGTATGTATCAATCACTTTCATAATGGTTCAATAGGTAGGTGGTGTTACTTAATCATGACACACTTACGAGAAGCACATTGCGCCAAGTTAGTGGGAAATCCATCAAGAACCCAACCTCTATTCATAGATTCACGACACAATAGCCTCTGACGTAGATATCTGTATAAGGAAAATATTCACAAGTGTATACCGAAATTAATTATTCAGTCATAAGTAGCTAAGTACGTGATGAAAGTTCATAACATGAGGATGAAGTATGAGAGGATTACGAGGGCATGATTATTATCCTTATTTTCCTATATTAAACACAAGGAACCAGGTGAAGGTTAATCATCACGATCTTTAAAATCAAAACATCATAATATTAATAACATAAGAACTTTTTATTGAAAACTTATTCCTTGTGGACCATAAAGTCAGCGACTCGCTAGCAATGTTTCTGGTATAACAAGCGTCAATATTTTATTTATAGCTAGGTATTCCTTAAACTTGTGGAGTACCGTAGTTACTCGCCGTCAGGTGCCCTAATCGAGGAACCGAGCTGTGACAAAAACACAACTTATCTATTTAGTACGGTTGTGGTTCGGAAGGCACGTTAAAGTAAAGGCTTCCGGTTGTATAAGATAAGGCGGTAAGTAAGTATTATTATCTCTCATGGCGGGTATTGTTCCACATTGTTTGACTAGAATTTATGCTACAGTTAGTAACAAAGCAATTTGCCTATTTAATGTGTGGAACTGATATGTTAACTACACATTTTAGAGTTCAATTGTAAAACACGAATACCTAGTTGATGCTCTTAAAATAAAGACCTAAACAAAATTAAGGGAAGGTTACCCGGCTACGACTCAGGAGATTTATTTTACCGCGCGGCGCCCATTATAGCGAAAACAACGGACGTAGATAACCCCGTCGTTACTAATACCATTCTATAGGTAAGAAGCATTGGGTTCAATATACAATATTGTTCAGACCGGCAATATGAAGATGACTGGAGCGTAGCTTCGGTGAATTTATCGTCACATCAACATTTTAGAAACGGAACTCCACTGAAATTAAATTTAAAGTGAACCTGGATAATTGACGAACGACTAATTAATTAGGTCCTACATACAAAATATGCAGATCTAGAACCAGTAGAACTAGAACTGGCTCCTAAGTTTGTCTTGGAGACGCAAACTAACAAATTAAAGATCGACCTACTACTAACCGCTTACTAAATTAACCACTCCTATTGCAATGGCTAAACTATTCAGTGCACTTTTTTATAAATAGGTCCGACGGATGAATCCACCTCACCTGATGTTAAACGACGGTGGAATCCAGGCGCGAAGATAATTGCTATTACCTGCAACACCAGCCATCCTCACCTTGCCGGCCTGTATATTGCTTCATCACCGCTCCTCTTTTTTAAGGATCCCGGGTTGTAGGAGGAAGGTAACATGAACAAAGAAATGAGCTAAAAGTCGATTAAAAGAAAATGAGAACCTATCGGTGGCGTAGTTTTGTTTTTATATCTAGGGGTGGTGATAAAGTCCAGACGCGAAGATAGAATTTGCAAAGCCAAAAGAAATTATAAAGGTAACCCCAGGATTTCTTCGTCAGAGAGCGGTCTGCCGGATCTCAACATGGCCAGGGTCTGTCGCGCGGTCTCCTGTACGCCCTCCTCGTCGCTGAGGTCTTCATCAGCATCCGCAGCCGGATCTTCCTCCTCGCCAGTAGGCACGGGCAAGGCTGTCGTTTCACCCACCTCCCAGTGACTTACCCGCCAAGCCTAATGGTTTAATTATAAAAAAGGTCTAAAAACTACAATGACGTTAATTGATAATATGCACTAGCTCATGTCTGTATTATAAGTAACCTTTGCCTTTTTAACGCGGGTTTATCAAGTTAAGTTGGTTCGCACTAAAGTCTTAAAATATTCACAGTACAAGCATCTTACACACAGTATTTTTTTTTAATATATCTAAAGCGAGCTCCGGTACAACTACAGGTTGGCACAAAAAGCAAAAAAAAAACGTTTTACTTTCAAAGCTTCTATAGACGTCCATAAATACCTAATATATTAAGTCAAGTAAATCTGCTCTGGGATAATACCAACCAAATCTTCCATTATATCTTGAGCCACCGTCTCCGGGGAAATATACACTAGGCCGTAAGCCTCGGCGATCAGCTTCGATAGCGTCGTCTTACCGATGATAGGAGGCCCGTATACTATTATCTAAATGGTAAATTATTTACTGTCGATCAAAATAATTGGGGAATAATCTTTTTCATCACAAGTTGAAGATTAATAAGTAAACCATGGAAAATGGATTCAGTTCCAAAATAACAAAGCTTTTGAGGGAATCAAAATAATACCTAATCAAAATAATCTAAGTATTTAGTTGACTTACTTAGCTCAGATCTCTGCAAAAATGTGGATAATTATTTGAGTTGGCTGAAATTTATTATTAAAGGACAATGGGCAAAACACACCCAGATCCGCCAACAATGTAATTAGTATGAATCGATAGATCTATGAAAAACTAGCCTTTTTGATTATGACACCGTAGAAAAATATCCTGCTAATCAAAAGATATGACACCGTAAAAAATATCCTGGTAGTTAAAAGACACATGGGCATATTTAAGTAAATTCATTTTATATTATTAGTAACTATAATAATATGCCCTATCGTACTATACAACCAGATATACGACAAACCCTGACAATCGACCATCCTGCGCTTACGTTTACTGAGACACGTCAAAACGCTTTACGGTGGTTGAAGGACTTGCAGTTGCAAATAGTCGACTCGTCTTACTTCTTTGTGATTGTGCGCTCCCTTTTTTTTATAGATTGGTTCGGCAAATGACTCCACCCCACCTGATGTTAAGTGAAGGTGAAGTCCAGACGCGAAGATAGCTGATACAGCAGTTCTACCTGCCACACCAGCCATCCTCACCCTGCCGGCCTGCATGTTGCTTCTTCACTCCTCTTTTAAAGGATAAGGTTGTAAGAAGGAGGGAACACGTGAGCGGGCAGAGCATTCCATTTACGGATAGAGCGACAAAGAAATGAGTCACCAAATTTCTTTGTACGCGTTGGAATTGTGGCCACAGTAAGACGCTGACAACGTAGGCCAGCGCGCGTGGTCCTCTGAAGGAAAGGGGAAGGTGGCATAAGAGAGAATAACTCCTCAGAACACTCGCCGTGGTACAGACGATAGAACGCGCTTAGTGACGCCACGTCGCGGCGTAATTGAAGAGGCTCAAGGTGTTTAGTCACCTCCTCATCGCCTATGATGCGGATCGCGTGCCGCTGTAACCTATCCAAAGCATCGAGCAAGTACTTGGCGGAGCCATCCCAGAGATGCGAGCAATATTCCACGCAGGACCGCACTTGCGTTTTGTACAACAAGCACAGTTGATCGGGCGTGAAAAAACGCCGCACCTTGTTCAGGACTCCGAGTTTGCGTGAAGCTGTTTTGATCACGGTTTCGATGTAGTCCTTTGGATTCAGGTCTAAGCGAACTTCCATACCGAGCATGGAAATGTTGCTCTGTTGCGGTAGTGTTGTGCCCTGAAGAGAGGGAAGGGGAAGGAATGGCGATGTTTTTGCCGTGAAAGCGCAAGCCTGTTTTCTTGGCATCGAACTCAACTAAGTTCCTGGTACCCCATTCGGAAATATGGTCCAAAGCCTGGACTTTTGGTATAATTAAAGTTTATTGTAGTGGAAATAGAATGTGATAAGCAGTTGTTTATGAAAATGAAGTGCAGAAAGCAAATATTTTTACAATGATAGAATAAATATTATACACACTACTATGCCTTTGAAACATACACAATGATTGGGTATTAATTTAAACTCTTAAAATTGCTCTCCTCGGGATAGGTCCGCTAAGTAAGAAATAAAAGGTGTAATTTCGGCAGAAAGGTGACTATGCATTCGTTTACAAATGTGTTCAAGATAATTGGCTTAACAGCTACAGAATTAATAAATCTTTGTACTAGAAATAAGTACCGATGCTTATATACAGAAGCCTTAAAAGTAGCGGCAGCGAACTATTATTAGACATCACCTTAAAAGGTTTCAGTCCTCTTTCCTTTTTGAACTGCTTCATAAGAGCTGGAACGTTTTCAGCGAAAGTCATATCGGATGTCCACTGCAGGGCCATCGTCTCGACAATGAATGTCGGCTCCATATTTATGTTCACGGTCATCAAATCATAAATTCTTTGCTAAAAATATTGGTAATGTAAAAAAAACGAGTTGCTTGAACCTGATCTCTATCACGATCATGGGCGCGCAAGCGTGCAGGACTTCTTCTACTCAATATTTGAGGTACTAAAATGGTTCATTTAACTTACTTTAAATTTGCAGAATTATGGAATATTGTTTTAAATTTCTTTAATGGTCTCTGCCATTATATAAATATTAGCGGGATTGCTACCGTGTACTTTGTTTATTTTTGAGTCCCCGATATCTCCGACTCCGTGTCCGTGATCATGGCACTTGCAATTGCAACAGTGCCGAAATAACGGTAACAGTCCCGCTTATACTATAAGAATTTATTATAGTCTTTCAAGTAGTATTTTTCTATGCTGGTTGGAGTCCAAGATGAATGGGCCAGCTGTTAGATTTCAGTGCTGATAGGAATGGTAAAATTAATGAGCACGGCTTTACCACAAGTAAGTACTTATGAAATCATTGGTTTGAACTTACTATTCTCCGAACAATGACAATCACCATTATACTAAGACATTTTAATGAAGCTAAAGATAATATTTTTACAACAAACGCTTATTGTCACACCCTAACGCAATTACAGAAATTATTATAGTCTATCTGAACACCAATGTAATACCAGTATGTTTCCTATCCTGACCCTACATGTGGATTTCTGAAAGTCTTACTGCAGGAACACAAGACTAAAGAACAGTGTTATTCGGATACAGACTTCTGTGGGAGGTTACTTCCCAAAACGGGAGCATTAATTTGCGTGGTTAATCCGATGTGCGATCGTAGAGCCAAAGCCATAATTATGAAACTGTGTATTTAACTGGTACTTTACAATTTGAGCGACATTGAAAGTTTTATACTGTCATGGTCGATATAGAAAAGAAAGAATTATTTTACATTTATCTCGGGGATCAAAAAGGCGTCTTCTTTTGGTATGCATTTAAACATTCCAGAACCAGCAATGCGGCCGAGTGGTTTCACTATCTGAAACGCGTAACAATATTGTTCAATTGGCTCGCAGATAACGCTATCGAAAAGTTAAACGTATATATAATTTCAACCTCTCGTTGCTTCGTAACATTCTGCTCCACCGCTGATATGTATAACTTTTTCGGAAAGTCCGTTATCAAATTGTAAATTATTCTGAAATTGAAGGATGGACATTATATAACGATTAACTAACTACAGAACTACAATAAAAAACCAATTTCTAAGCTGATTTACATCAGTCAAACGGAAAAAAAAACTATGACTAAATTACCTCGACCTTTACGAAGTTTTAGTGATTTTACGAACATAATCGTGTAAAAGTTAGAAGAAGTTCATGAATGGATGGAATGAATGGAAGTAGGTATACTAACTGAGCTAGATCCAGGACATTTATAATGGGTACCACATTGTTGCCACGGCCGAGAATCGGTAGAAATTTTTCACATTCCCATGCCTTTTGGAACCAATAAAAAAACACATCTTCATATCCTCCGTAAGTCACGCCAGTCGTTACCACCAAAGCCCTGTTTGGGATAATTTTCAATGAAATGAAATGAAATGTCATTTATTCAGTCTAGGCTGTTACAAGCACTTGTGAAGGTCAAGAAGCTACGCCATCGGTTCGCAAAACTACGGCGAATGTGAATTGAGGTCCCAAGCAAGTAAAGGGCATGATAGTAAATAAGCGACCACTATCCCATAAAGACGCTTGCGATAGTAAGAACTATCGCTCGTGAGTTGCTTATAATAGCATAGAAATCTTAAAAGCCTAATACCATCCCCATGTGGTCAGTCTTGAAAATATTTCTATTCTGTACCTAATCGGTACAACTGTACCAACTTAAATTGCCTACTGACGACAAAAATGTAAAATCCTGTTAGCGACACCGCTGAGGCGTCAAACAACAATAAGAGACAACAAAAATAATAAGAGAGTGAAAAGAAAATTTATATATAACGACAGTAAATTAAATAAAATAAAATTGAGGGCAGTCCCCCATACAAAAAAAGTTAAGTATATGATACTACTTATAAGATAGCAAACCATTCCTAGTTTATTTTAAGATATGTTATTGTTGTAGTACTTGTAAGGTTTGATAAATAAACATTATTATTAATATTATTATTTAAGTATTATTTTGGTCTTTTTTTACTTCATTAAGTGTTAAATCTAGTACAGGTACGGAACCCTTTGACTCTAAGCTGAGTCGGACTTGCCCGATTTTTATTATGCATAAAACTACAATAACAAATGTCAGTGACGTGACTCGTGATCATCATACACAAATACTATATGAGTCACTTGGAGATAAACTGTCCATTTGTTTACGTTTTGCTGGAAAAAATTGGATATGTACTTTTAATGAGCAGTGCCACATGCTAACATGCTATTAATATTTTAACACTGGCATTGGACTACATTTATGAAAATATAATAAATGTAAGAAAAAACTATGACGCAATTGCAAGAAAAAAGTCACTCATAACTTTAACACGAGATTTAAGAACAAGCTTCCGTTCCATGTTTCAGCCTTCCAAAATCAAGAGGTTCATTTCTGGGTTGTAGTATTGCAATGTTTAATAAAGTTCCCCAAGATCTGATCGAGCTTCTTCCGACCAAATTTTAGTCTCAGATCAAGAATACTCTTAGAGAAATGGCTATTTTAAAGTTGGTGATTATCTTAATGATCGTAATGCATGGACATAGTGTTTCTTGTAATTTGTAATGTAATGGGTATTAGTCATTTTTCATAACAGTAATGTGGTATCTAAAGCCGCTTCCTATTTAAGTACTAAAAATGAAAATTTCACTATAAAACTTATTGTCACTATATATCTATATCCTTAATGATGTAATGGAAGGTGACTCATTTTTCAACATGACGACTCTGTATATATATAATAATACAGGGAGAAAAAAACAGCCCTCGCTGTGTTTATTGTCAGGTTTTTTCAGTACAAGGTCTCCCGCCGTACTTTTGCAAACCGATAGCGTAGCTTCTCGGCTTTCACAAGTGCTTGTAACAGCCTAGAAGACTGAATAAATGATTTTTTAGTTTTTGTGTTTTAATACTCGCAGCCCTATCTACTAATAAAATAATATATGTATACTTAGTGTAGATATTAACAATGGTAGGTAATGCCCAGCCTATAATTCGAATTTCATACAGTAAAAACAAATGTCAGTAAGTTCAAGTGGGCGGGCGGCGGCCCTATCTAGGAAACATCCTTTCTATGAAAATTTTCAATGTCATTATCATAGTCAGTAGATGCTTACCCAATTTGAGATTTATATTTCCTGGCTATTCCAATAACTTCGTTTTCGATATCGTAGTGTAACTTGTAATTCGGATGAGGCTTTCTTTTGCGAAAATCAGTTTCTATGAATGGCATATCAGGTGTGTCCTGTAAATGCATAGGTTCGTAACATTATTAGCGCCTGTCCTGTATGTTATATTAAGACATAAATAATATAACTAAGTACGTCGTGAAAATTACTGTATTGCATTCTCCTTTTTATGGATTGAAATATTTTTATGAGTTATGATAATATCAATATCAACTACATTGGACGCTTCAAGAAAAATGTATTTATTCCTTTGAACTAGATGTCTATAAAACACGCAAAATTTACTTATACCGTTAAATGTCGCATCGAATAATTACCGGGTCCAATGGCTTAGTGCTAGCCCATGTCAAGACCGTTGATATCAATATCACATATCGCTTTTTGGACTCGCCAGCTCCTTCGTCATCATCTGCAGTATTCGCTCCAGCAGTAGGAGTTTGTTTCTCGAGCAAGGCCTTTAAAACTAGAAAGCAAGATTAATTAATAGTTAGGTTCCTAGGGAAAGGTCCTCTTTCAGTGTACTGTGGTTCCTATGGCAAGTACTAACAATTTATAGTATAAACCTGTTTCTTTCTGTAATTCAATTTTTTATTACCGCCTCTTTGTGATAAGTGTGCTATCTGTGTCTCATCTGGTAAACGAGGTAGCTCCCTACTATCTACTCAAATCTAAGTAGGTCTTATATATGATAGGATATGACACATACTCCGCCAATTCTTTATTAAAAGCATGGCACTGTACGGTGCGCCGGTGTGGGCCGACAGCCTCAGCGCGGTCAACAGAGCAGAGCTCAGAAGACCGCAAAGGCTGGTGGCCATAAAAGCGGCACGGGCGTACCGGACAATGTCATATGAGGCCGCATGTATCCTCACAGGGATGCCCCCCTGGGATCTGGAAGCACTCGTGCTTGCAGAAGTGTACCAGGGGAGGATCCAGGCGAGGGAAAGGGGAGAGCGTGCCACAATAGAGGAAGTAGCAGGCATACGCAGGGAGGCAGAAGAAGCGCTCAGGAGAGGCTGGAAGGAGCCGACGGCGACAACCCGACGGCGGGGGAGAGAACAATCGGAGCGATTCGACCGGTATTCAGGGAATGGTTGTACAGGGGGAAGGGGACGCTTACCTTTCGATTGGTGCAGGTACTTTCCGGGCACGGATGCTTCGGAAAGTATCTGCACCGGATCCAGAGGGAGGCGGACCCCTCATGCCATGAGTGCGGCGATGCCGAGGTCACGGCGCAGCACACTCTAGAGGTGTGCTCGGCGTGGACTCGGCAGCGAAGCACTCTAGCGGAGACTGTAGGGACGCACCTCTCGCTGCCCGGCGTGGTAAAAGCCATGCTGGATAGCGACGGGTCATGGCAGGCGGCGGTCTCCTTCTGCGAGGATGTCATCTCGCAGGAGGCTGCGGAGAGAGTCCGCGAGGTGCAAGCCGTCGCGGGCTCTCTTCGCAGCAGAAGGGCGAGGGGGAGGAGAGGCAGGCGCACACTGGCACATCTTCTGCCACCCTGACAAAGGGGATAGCCCGCACAGGGGCAAGGGGGACTGGGTCACGTAGGGACCCTGGGATGGTCAGCACTTCGAGTGCTGAACACCGTTCAACGGTCCTTTTCAGGACCAGGGTAGGAGCATCACCCTACAGTGACCTTGCGATTGGCGGTAGATGCTCAAAAGGCCCTTCTCAGGGCCAAGGGGGGCGGGAGAGGGACGGAGAGAACTACGCTCCCCCTCCCACTCCTGTGAAAGCCGCGGGTCTGCCCTGGGGGGGGGGGGGCGGCCCGTATTGCACAATCTCTCTTGATGCTGGTGCCCCTGATACTCCGTGGCACCTTCATCGGGGTGGGTCCGTTCGCGGACAATCACCTTGCCACGACCACACCCGCACTCCCGGCATGCATTGGAGGGACTGCGGTCCTCAGAATGTACGCCGGGTGACCGGTGCAGGAGTATTGTCTAGTTTTTAGTGGCCCTGTTCAAGGTAGGGCCCTGCTCATTTCACCCGGCCTAAGGGCTGGCTGAAATGAGCAGGGAGGAGTCCCACATACCTTCTTCTCGCTCCCCCGGTGGTTGTAGGATAAATGAAACATTCGATTTAGTAGGATGCGTAAAGCATTTCCCAGACAAAAAAAAAGGCCGGGAGGCTGTTGCGGTTGGATGCGGAGACGCGTTGAAGTCCCTCAGCCCTCAACGGGGATCTCGTTAGTTGGTGTGCCCCAGGGCGCCAACGTCTGTAAATATAGGTTTTGCCTGCGTAATAAAAAAAAGGGTACTATTCAACTAACCTTTGATGTAATCCATAGCGATTTGAAGTTCATCCCGGTCATAACTAATATCGAACACGACCGTGCCACTAGTTAACATATGTGGTATACATTCGGATTTAGGTATAATTCTGGCAACATTATCAATGTCCTTGAGATTGGTGTCTGACACTGTACCTAAAAGACAAGATAGTATATTGGTGTGCATAGCATGAGAAACTGTATTAAGTTACATGATCATTCTATATGAACTACACAAGAAAGTTTAGCCTTTTTGTTAAACCCAACGTTTAACAAAGGCATGGCCGATAAAAAAGTTAAACCCAAAGTTTGCGCTTTTGAAACACTTCCGAATTGTTTTTTCAACTTCCAGAACTCAAAGTACAACGTTGGTCGTTAAAAAACTACGAAAACTAGTACCTACTGACAGCTACCGTTCACGAGCATGACGTATGAAAACGCCATCGTCTCGCTCCATATTAACCTACTAAATACCTATACTTAGGGAAGTTTGACGTACTAACCAATAATTTCATACATCTGCTCGGGCAGAGGAGGCGGTATTGGTTCGGCATCTTCCCCCAAGATGGTAAGAGATGTCGGTTTCGTAGATAATGCGGTGTTCTTTTCGAGCACTTTAGTTAGCTCTTTCAAAATGTATTGGCCATGATATGAATCCAAGTTGTTAATAAAATAACGTTTAAAAGAGAAAAGATTTTCTGCTTCTGATTGGGATTTGTCCGAGGACATTTTCTAGGCTCGTGTAGGTACTATATCTGTGGCCTTCGCGCGTGAATGCAAATCACGCAATTATACTAGCTACCTACCAAAATATGTGATAAATATCGATGAGCAATCAAAGGTACAAATATTTGAATCTCAGGTGTGTATCCCACAATCCTCGGTTGAGTGAATGGCAATCACAGCAGTCATAGTGGCAGTGACATTTCCATGTCACATGGACACGACGGCATGGTATTTTAACCATAGAGTTAAAATCACGAACTACATAGTACAGTCGTGGTACAATCATTTGACTTTAATTAATGGTATCTAAGCTCTTGTTTAATCCATATTATTAATATAGGAATTTATAAACTACTTTTGCAGCCTGTTACCCTTACCAACGATAGGGTATTAAATATCGTTGTCTTTACGACTCTAATCGCTAAACTGACTTTAATGAATTTTGGTATGGGGATAAATAGTAAGTAACTCAAGAAAGGACGAGCTACTTACGTCGCGAAAATATAACAGTGGGTAAAATTAGGATATAAAAGTTGGTTTTACTTTCAACTCCTATTCAATTCATCGACTACTTGGCGCAGAGGAAGTCTTGCTTTTCAATATTTAATAGCATTTATGTTTCATTATTGCATAAAAATTATGAAATTTTGACTAAGTAATATCCTTAGGCGCCGCACGAGACAGACACAGATGACGTAAGACGGAGACGCGGTCCACGTCTCTTCAGCGTCCTTTTCATATAAAACGTATAGTAACATCACGTGGCAAAATAAAGACAGGGCGCAGACACGACCGTCGCTCCTTCATTTTGTATGAAACCGACAATATCCGCGCCCCGTCTGCGTCTTACGACTTTTACGTGTGTTCTGCGCCCTAGTTCAAGAATAAATATACCTTCCTAGGAACAAATAAGTGATTTTATTTTCTCTCTGAAAATGGTAAACATGGATAATGAATAGGCTAAGTAAATGAAACATTCGATTTAATTATATATAACGTTAATAATATTTATTGTCCAGCATAATAATACATAATAGATTATAAATTCATTGTCGTAATAATCGTAATATTAATTATGGAATAAAAATTCATAAAAAAAATAATTGGGATAACGATTTAAGCCAATGTGATAGATTCTATAAAAATAGTCTTATAATCAAGATAATGATTTAAAATAGAAACGAACAAAGGAATTGAAAAATCTTTTCTAAATTAAATTGTTCTACTAAAAATCACAATGTTGGTAATAATAAAACATTATTTATTTCAATGGAATGTATAGCAATTGTAATAAAAAATAAGGATTAATTAAGTACATTGTCCATTTAATACATAATGTGTTTCGAGATTATAGTTTGATTAGAGATAATATTGAACCAAAAGAGATATTTTTTTTTTAAATAAAAAGTAGGGTACTTTGATTTGCTGCCAGTTGCCAGTGTTGAAAAACACAACGATATAAATAAAACTGAAACCAAATAGTTATTCAAACGTACTCTACTTTGATGGCTTTACTGTGATTTATCTTTATTAATTACATTAATACAGTAGCTGGTACTTAGATTCAGTAGCCTTTAAACGGCGCTAGTTAATTTACCAGATTTCATTCTTCCAGCATTGATCGAAGTTTATATTATAGTGGTAGCAAGCGCCTTGGATTTTTTGTGGTGGCTACTTTGAATAAAAGACCTACAAATAGGTCCAGTAGTCAGAGATTACCCCCTACAATGTCACAAACTCACAATTATTCATAAAAGGAGACGGTTCTAATTTGTATGGAGGATGGTAGCGAGTCTCCGGCATTCTCCAAATTTTTAGGTCATGCAGTGCACTTAATTGTGAATAATTTGACAAAAAACTAGAATCCCCATTTTGTTTACAATAATAGTTATAATTTTAAATTCCCTTCATAATTATTGATTGGCATATTGCAAGTTTATTTATCTACTGTTTGCTGAAAAAGCATCAAATATATTCTATCCAATAGGTAACTGAAGCAGTGATTATTATTGTGTTCATCTTTCATTCTATTAAGTATTAGGTATTTTGGGGCTGTTTTGTTTCAAGATAAGCCAAATCATAATAATTTCACCACAATTTCACGAATATCATGTATGACTGGACTATTTGACATAGTGATTGAGGTGATATTACAAACTGCCGCAGACTGAAAATATGACATGACTTATGGATGGTCAGAAAACCGACTACCACTTCTGATCCGTCTCCTTTACCTCTTTATAATATTAGTACATTTATTTATCTAGAGCCGCTGACAAGGTGTGCAAATTTGGAGAGCCATCACAAGACCAAAAAGTAAGCAGCCGGTCTACTCAACTCCAAGCCCACGGCTGGACTGCACCTAAATGGTGTTTGCACGATCCCAGTGCTGGCATACAAGCGAGACTGGCGTCAGCTACTGTATCAATGTAAATCTACTATAACACATTAGTTTACTTATAGACTAATTAAATCTAGATATATTTTTGAATAAAAGTTTGACTACATAAAATTGTTCCCAAGCACCTTCATTCATCATTATTTAATCCTTACCTTATAAATAAAAAGGCGTACGTTGGCACAGTTCATTATACTATTTTGAAAATTTAATGTTATTTTGTGTCACTGAAATATTTTCACATCAGATTTTACTTTTCATATGGCACCCTGTTCGAGTAATTATGTCTCATAATACTGTTAACTTATTGTACTAAATATAATTTACGAAGGCGAATAAAATGATGGAACTACATATGGGAAAAGGACGGCTCAATTGACTATTTATTGAATGTAATAAAACAGTTAAATCAAAAAATAGTTATTAAGTGCAAAACTACTGTAATTTCATCACACATCACTTTTATGCATGCCCAATAACGGAAGTAATAAAAGTAATTTCTAATTATAATTTTAAGTACAGACTGAACTAAACTGTGTTATTCCAAAAGGAAAATCACTACAATCAAAAGTACAAAATATGAATCTAAACAAAATCATAAGTCTTAATCTTCCTGTTTTACTATAGTAATTGCAACTACATCGCATCATTGAATGACGCACAGCACACATATCCCCTGAACCAACATTCAAACATGTACCAGTAGAAAATTAACAAAGGACGGAATGTGAAATGTGAAGAAATATATATATTCGAAGTAATTGTATTAAAATAAAGTATAATACCGAACTAAGTACAAGTGCACAACAAAAATGTTAGCCGTTATAATTGATATAATTTTTCCAATAAACTAATTACTTTATGTAAGTAAATAACAAGAAATATCAATAAAATAGACATCTCGCTTATAGTTTCCTTCGAAACTTAAAAGCGAAATGATAAAAACGAGCAGAGACCAAAATTGTCTAATACCTATAAATATACTTCATACAATATCGTAAATTTATTTTGAAAAGTAGAACTGAAATTACTTATAATAATTTCAGAGCACCTTAAAAGGAACATTATAAAATTACCCATTACAATATTTATTATAATTATAAGCTTCATCACACATCAGTCGGTAATACATCTATGATTGTAAGGCACTAATTTCAAAGAAATTTCAGATTGTAATCACCTGATCTGTGCTTCTGCAGAATTCGAGAAAAGTTATACCAATATCAATAATAAATATGGAGTACTACGATCTACGACGAGTCTGTTTGTAACCCCACAAAAGATAAAGTAAATTTCAATACATCGCATTTTTGATGCAAAAACTCAGTAGGCACATCTTAAAGTTGAGTAGTTATAACTGATTTTCTATGAATAATTGTTATATCTTTTTCACCAATACCTGAAGGAGAACTTGGTTCTGAAGTAACTAGCCACGGCGACAAGGACGATATAGGTTGGGTCTTGGGAGCAACTTCCTCCTTACGTTCTATCGGTTTTGGGGAAGCTAACTTCGCTTGAGAATGAGGTGGCTCTACTACAACTATAGAAACGTATTGAGAGTTAGAAGCAGCTGCTACCTGAGGTTCGTTTAATATTTTTGGCGAAGGTGTAGATGGCAAAGAGAAGTTAATGTTTGGAGATTCATTAATAATCTTAACTTCGCTTTCGCGTGCTTTCAAAATATTATTACACTTCAACTGACCAGGTGGTAACGCTTTAGTGGACAAGAAATATTTAGCTTGATTGTTTGGCAATTCCTTTACATTTCCACCATCAAGTTGGTCTTTCTTCACCTCATTTTTAGAATCATCGTTATTTAACTTTTCTTTTACTAGACTCATGAGAAGGTCGTTCAATGGATTCGATTCTGTAACTGGTGAACAATTACAGGAAGGTTTATTAATAACAAGTTGAGTTAAATTATTTCGTTTCTCTTCTATTACAGGCTTTTCAACCTGGAATACATTATTGCTAATAGCATCATTCTTAGACATGTGCACTTCTTCAGCTATATCATCAGTAAGAAGTTTCTTTGTGGAAGATTCACCGATCTCGTTTGTTTTAGAGTCATTTTCTGTGACAGTGGATTTTTGTGATTTGGCGCTGCTCTTTCTTGACAAGGTCTCAGTATCAGGCACAAGCAAAGCGATCTCAGAAGTTGTGCTTGGTATTTCTGGTGCTACCTCCGGCGAAGCAGCAGCTTCAGGTTTTACGGAAGTATTTTGTTTTTCACGTTCTCTCAACACATGACTTTGTCGTCGAGCAAAACGTTGACTCGGTCGTCTTTCAAACTGAACAGTGCGACGAGCACGGTTTTGCTGAGTAGTCTGGTACTCTGTCTTACCTGAGTATTGGAACCTAGATCCCATTCGGAAAAAGTTTTGCCTGGCTGATGGACCTTTGACTGGGGCTCTTAAACGGAAGAAAGTATGATGTTCAACAGCACATTTCCACAAGTGTTTACAAGCTTTCTCATTATGTAATCGAAATACAAATGTGTGTTCTTGTTCTCGTCCTTGATCATCATCTTCAACTACTATTAAAGTTAACTTTTTCTTTTTAAAATCGAGTTTGCTAATTTTAGGCCAAAAAAAGAGTCCTATTTTTTGTGGACCTTCAAAAACTAAAATTCCTGTAGGAGTTAATCCAAGATGGTATTCACATCCATCTTTACCCAATACAATGTGCATATCAACACCATACATTTCTAACCACTTAGCTTTATTTAGATAATTTACCTCAGCTTGAGCTGGTGTTAGTCCTTTGCATTTCTTATACTCCTCTAAAATCTCTATTTCCATTTCTTCTGTTTGATTAGGCACAAATCTAAATTCAGAAACAGTGGCAGGTGTATGAATAGCTTCATCGAAGTCTCCTAGCTCCGACTGTAGTGCTAAAGCAGCCAATTCCACAGCAGTTGAATGTGGACATTCAAGTTTGCTTTCTAAAATATCTTTCTTTAGCTGCAAAAAGAATTGGTATCGTGTCAACTCTTCTCGGAGATTATTTGGCTCTGATGAATAAAATTTTACCTTCAGCCTCAGTGTATATGGTGGCCCTATTTTAACTTGTTTCTTGATAGTCTTTGTAGGATCGAGCCAATGCTTAACATTATGAGTGTCAGTAAATTGAAGACCAAAATAGTCTTTCTCTATTAAATCCAAAGAATAAAATACTTGTTCATAGAGATCGCCTGCACTCGCTTTCTTAGACAAATTAATAGATAAATCAGTGTCATCAAGTAACATTACTTTACATTGTATAAAATTTTTGTTTATGGATGCCTTGGCACCCTGTTTGTTGCGGTTTTGGCTCGACGAGCGCCCCCTTCTGCTGAGAAAGCGCAGCATTTCTTGATCTCAAGGATTACCTGTAATAATAAAACAAACTTGTCTTATTACTAACCCATTCCATAGAGATCTAAATTCCAATAAAGTTAAAAAATTCAGGTCACAAATAAAGAAACATTGGGATTTGGTTGAACTAAATATTCTACATATAAAGGACAATGCCGGATTTTGTATGGAAGGTGGCGCCTTTTTTTTTCGCGCGGCCATTGACCAAACCTTGTTATTTAGGTAGAGGACAATGTAACAAACAAAACTTATTATGCCATGTATATCGCTAAAATCAGTCCGAGCTGAGTTATAAAGGTTAGAAGAAAAAAAAATTTATTCTTTTTTTTGCGCAGATGTTGGTCAAACCTTGTTATTTCGGTATAGATTTACGTAACAAACAAAACTTATTATGCCGTGTATATCGCTAAACTCAGTCCGAGCTGAGTTATAAAGATAAGAAAAGAAAAAAAAAAATTCTTTGTTTTGCGCAGATGTTGGTCAAACCTTGTTATTTGGGTATAGACGAATGTAACAAAAAAAACTTACTACGCCATGTATATCGCTAAACTCAGTCTGAGCTGAATTATAAAGGCTAGAAAAAAAAATTTTTTTTTTCACAGATGTCAATCAAACCTTGTTATTTTGGTAAAGATTAACGTAACAAACAAAACTTATTATGCCATGGACTTATTATCGCAAACTTATTATCGCTAAACTCAGTCCGAGCTGAGTTATAAAGGTTGGAAGAGAAAAAATATTTCTTTTTTTGCACAGATGTTGGTCAAACTTTGTTATTTGGGTATAGACGAATGTAACAAACAAAACTTATTATACCATGTATATCGCTTAACTCAGTCCGAGCTGATTTATAAAGGTTAGAAGAGAAAAAAAATCCCTTTTTTTGCGTAGATGTTGGTCAAACCTTGTTATTTGGGTATGGACTATCGTAACAACAAAACTTATTATGCCATGTATATCGCTAAACTCAGTCCGAGGTGAGTCAATAGATTAGAAGAGATTTTTATTGCGCGCAGATATTTACTAAACCTTATTAAAAATACAATAAAACTTATTATAATATATGTATCAGTCTGTCTTTGTTGTTTGAGACAGAGACTATCAGATATAAGTTTTGTTTATTTATTATATAAGTACTAGCTGACCCAGCGAACTTCGTACCGCCATAAAAAAATTTAATTAAAAAAACATTGTCCAGCAGACAAAATTGTGAATCTAAACCATTCTCAGATCCCCTTGAACACACACAAAAAAATTCATAAAAATCGGTCCAGTCGTTTAAGAGAAGTTCAGTGACATACACACTCACAGAAGAATTATATATATAAAGATTCTAAAGTTCAACTTAGCCTGAACTGAAATATAAGAAGAAAAAAGGAATTGATTTTTGTTGTTATCCAAATCCTGTTATTTAGGTACAGAATAACGTAACAAATAAAACTTATTATGACACATACATTATTTTATAGTTTTAAACTCAATCTGAGTTGATTATAAACTAAAAAAAAAATATCATTGATCTGAGGTCTGAGCTGTGTTCTGAAGATATGAAAAAAAAAATCTCAGGCGTGGCTATAAGCAAACCTTGCAAGTTACGAAATAATGTAAAAATAATGGCATATACAGGGCGTCCCACGGCTACCTCACACGGAGGGAAAGTATATTAAATATTGAAAATAGGATATTTTACTGAAAGAAGACATCATGTTATTTTTAATAATAACTAGAACTGCATTCACAGATTTTTTAAAAGTCGCCTGTTACAACTGGGAATCAAACTCATGAAATTTCGAAAAAAAAACGACATACCTATTTTATGGTAGCCATCGAAAGGGTTAATCATAAGGATAATGTTTTGCTAAATAACATAGCATTTTAAATGAAAGGAATGACTTATTACGTGATAAAAATAATAAAGTGATATACAAATTGTAGTACGTATGCATTTCTTTTTGAATTCAGTTCAGCAACAATGCGATTGGCTGAAATTTGTAATAATAATTCGAAAATGGAACACATAAATTTTCAAGCCTGTGTTCTTTTGTTTTTCGTGAGTTTCATTTTCGTTTATTTGCAATTTTTGGTTAATTTACTTACTATGGCGCATCATAATAAAATAGATTTAATTTAAGCTTACTTTATGAAACACAAAGACATATCATTAGCTTAGCGGTGGTACCGCAAAAGATATCCTGAAAGAGACAAATCTTCTCGATATGTGTATAAATAATGGAAGAAAGATAGAGATAGAGAAAGATTTTTGATAAGCCATGGTAAGTAAATTAACTGAAAATTGCAAATAAATGAAAATGAAACTCACAAAAAACAAAAGAGAAGACACTTGAAAATTGATGTGTTCCATTTTGGAATTATTATTATTACAAATTTCTGCCAGTCGCATTGTAACTGTGAGTTCAAAAAGAAATGCATACGTACTACAGTTTGTATAACACTTTATTATTTTTATCACGTAATTCACATTCCTTTCATTTAAAATGCTATGTTATTTAGCAAAAAATAATCCTTATGATTAACCCTTTCGATGGTTATCATAAAATATGCCGAGTTGTTTATTTCGAAATTTCACGAGTTCGATTCCCAGTTGTAGCAGGCGATTTTAAAAAAAATCTGTGAATGCAGTTCTAGTTATCAGTAAAAATAAAATGATGTCTTCTTTCAGTAAAATGTCCTATTTAATATACTTTCCCTCCGTGTGAGGTAGCTGTGGGACGCCCTGTATATCGACCGCTACACTCAGTTCGAGAAGGGTTAGGTGTGGTTAGAAGGAAGATCTTTAATGTTCATTTTTTTTGTGTGGTTACTAAGCAAGTCTTATTATTTGGATACAAAATAAAGTAAAATACAGAAATTCTGGCATGTATATAGCTAAACTCGGTACGAGTTCAGTCTCTAAAGGTCAGGAGAAAAACAAAATCATGGCATGGTCTCATTTTTCGTTTACTTACACTACTAAGCATTATTCAGTACCTACGCATAATACTTTACGAGGTTTGAGTTGCAAATAAAATTCTGTGATTCAAAAGAAAATTATCATTTTTTTTTTAATATATTGCACAGCATAATATTACAATTCGTCAACAGGCGATTCATCGGCTTCGTTTTCAACATTGTGTCGAATTATTATATCATCTAATAAAATAGCGGGTGGGGATAGATTTTCTTGATGTCTTCCGTACCCTAAATACCATATAATTGACATAGTATGTAAACAACACAACAGAGTGCGTTTACCCACGACGCAGCTGCAGTAATGAGCGTGTATCGCTTGTTTGCCTTGCATACCCTCTTCTATTAAAACGTAAGTGTAATAAGTTTTAGCTTGTCTGTGGCGTGACTGGATTCGTTCTCTCAATAGCCATGATTTAGATGTCATAATATTATATCGTCTCATGATCTGTCATGTAGATGTTGTTCCCTACACACTTCAATCCTGTAAAACCCATTTATTTTTATGTGTTCTCCATAGTAACTGCGGGCCTGTTTCAATTGATAGGTTCCCATTGCAAAAACGATGAGGTCGTCCAGACTCAACAGGGGAAAATCGTTTACTAGCCGTAAACGATTCCGATCTCCAGCTGTAATAGCTTGGAAACGCGCTCTTACAGCGTTGAGATTATTCTCTATGACGTACGCTGCCAAATGATTTTCAATATTTGCTGTTCTTGTTATTTGTTGAAGAATGTCTGCCACTAACCTGTGATCCGTCAACGGACGCCCAAAGGCATTGAGCAGAGCCCCTGCTATTTTAATTTCCTTAAAAAAATGTCCAAGGGCTCTATTATTTACTACGTTCCTTAGTAGTTTAAACTGATTTTTAAGACGGCCGTTAATGGTTTCTACGACCCAGCGACACATTGTCACTTTTCTTGACTCATTCGCTTGTTCTGTGCTTAACTGGGTTCCTCTAGTGCTCAATATTGGCATCTGTACATCGTAACCAGCAGATTCGAGCCAACCAACGGCATCTCTAAAACCCCGATCCAAAATAAACACGTCATTAGGTCTATAGAACCAATTCAACGGATTTTCACGATTTACAAGCATAGTATTTAAAATTGTAGAGTCTGAGGTTGTAGCTTCATAAGGGCCGTATATGTCTATGATGTGGCCGTCAGGACAGACCATTAGATAGGGTTTGTACAGTTGCCGCCATTTTTTAACCATTCAAGGCAGCCGGACCAGATGGCATCTTTCCGGCGCTGCTCCAATGGGCAGGTGAAGCGCTTATCCTTATCCTGGTGCCCCTCCTGAGAGCGTGTCTTGCATTTAGATACACGCCGAAGCTCTGGAGGGAGGTCAAGGTAATCTTTATACCAAAGCCAGGTAAGGCAGACTACAACGAGGCGAAATCTTTCAGACCGATAAGTCTCTCATCATTTTTACTAAAGACTCTAGAAAGATTGTGCGACAGAGAACTGAGAGACAACCAACTAGTCAATATTCCATTACATCCGAACCAACACGCCTATAGTCCAGGCAAGTCGACAGAATCTGCACTACATGCAGTCGTAAGTAAAATAGAGGATTGTCTCAGACGGAAAGATCTATGTTTGGGCACCTTTATAGACATAGAAGGGGCGTTTGACAAAACAAGTTTCGCCAGTATTGTAGACGCACTCGGCAAACACGGAGTAGACGAGACCATCATATACTGGGTAAGCAACATGCTCCGGAACAGACTAATCAGACTACAGAACGACAACCATCTCAGAGCATTGGCGACTAAAGGATGTCCTCAAGGAGGAGTACTATCGCCTCTTCTGTGGAATGTAGTCGTAAACGACTTAATCACCAAACTAAACAACCTTCACTTCCACACGGTGGGCTACGCGGACGACCTGGCAATCATGGTCCCGGGTAAGTCTGCGAGCACCGCCTGTGATGTTACAAGGGGAGCATTGAAGGTGGTTGAAAAATGGTGTGACGACTATGGCCTCAAGGTGAATCCGGTGAAGACAGAACTGGTAATGTTCACGAACAAAAGATCCTTAGGTGACTATCGGCTACCGAAACTCTTAAACACGACACTCACTCTCTCCAATGAGGTAAAGTATCTAGGAGTAACCCTAGACTCTAAACTGAACTGGGGATCACACATAGACAAAACTACTACGAAGACGAACATCATTTTCTGGCAGTGTCGGAAAATGATTAGCAAAACTTGGGGACTAGCACCGTTCATTGTCAGGTGGCTGTACACGACAATAATAAGGCCCATCATCAGCTATGCAGCAGTAGTATGGTGGACCAAGACAATCCAGGTAACGACAACAAATAAGTTAAGACGTCTCCAGAGGCGAGCCTGCTGTGCAATCACCGGCTGCATGAAAACCTCTCCCACATCAGCACTGGAGACTATACTTAATGTGAGACCACTCCATTTATTTATACAACAGGAGGCTGCTTGTACAGCCACTCGCCTAAGCATGCTGGGGCTATGGAGGGACAACAACTCTCCACATACCAGTATCTTAGCAGACATACACAGGCACTTTCCGTACTTTGCAGCAGTAAACGACCTTATTCCTAAGACGTACGTATTTGACAAAAAATATAAAATACAACTGTATGAAGACACTCCGGACCGCTGTTTGCACAAGGAGCTAAGGGTCTACACGGATGGTTCAAAAACCAACTGCGGGACAGGTTCGGGTGTCTTCTCCGAAGACCTAAATATACACATCTCAACAGCATTGGGAGCACATAACACAGTCTTCCAGGCAGAGTGTGTGGGCATCATTAGAGCCGCAGAGGCGATAGACTGCCGCGGGGTAAGAGGAAAACATATTCGTATTCTCTCTGACAGCGCTTCTGTCCTACAGGCACTAGACAACAATATAATGACATCAGGGTTAATTTACGAATGCCACTGTAAGTTATCCAATATTTGCAATGACAATAGACTGACCTTACAATGGATTAAGGGACACAGCGGCTCAAGGGGTAACGATGCGGCTGACTGCCTGGCTAGAGAGGGGTCCAGCAGGACGGCCATTGGCCCGGAGCCAATTGTACCCATACCTTATCGACAGCTGAGAACCTGGATAAGGGAGCGCTGTCAACGACAACAAGATGAATATTGGGCAAAACACACTGACTGCAGGCAAGCTAGGGAAGCCGTTCCTAAGGTAAACCAGCAGCTATCACGTAAGTTAATCCGACTACCTAGACAAGCCCTGAAACAAATCGTGGGTATACTCACGGGTCACGGCTACTTCAACAAACACCTTTATAATATAGGTATTTCTGACAGCCCTCTGTGCAGAGCCTGCTTGGAGGAAGAGGAGACGAGCGCCCATGTTCTGCTGGAGTGCAGAGGCGTTGCAAGACAAAGGACTTCTCTAATGGGAAGCCCGCGGACACTAGTAGAAGCCTGCAGCAACATCCGGGGACTGCTGAGCTTTTTGGAGGAGCTGGGATGGCAGGACTGATGCCAATCCCCACGCAAAATAGGCACTGTGTGTTGAGTTGCGGAAACAGCCCGCCGTTCTACTAAGACTAAGACTAAGCTATATAATGTCTTTATTGGCAAAAATATGGCAAATATGAAATGTTTTGCTTTGCCCAAATTAACCTGAGCTATTTATTAGGAGCGTACCTAGTGTGTATATTATGTTAAAAAAATATAAATGTGTGTAATCTTGTGCTGGTGTCCAAGCTGGTCAAATTAATTTATCAATGATAAATAACAGATATCTAAGTCACATTACTTTACTTTATGACTATTAACTACAATTATTGAAAATGCAGTTGAGACCTACTTATTTATGCTTCTCATGAAACTTGGGTAAACAGCTAGGTGAGCAAGTCCTAATCACTTAGAAATAAGTTAGCATTTTCAAATGTTTTTAAACAATGTGAGATATATATAGTTATACAGGAATGAAAATTCATCCATTTAAAACGTTAAATGTATTTCTTTCTGTTTTAAATAACATTGGGATTGGGCAAAACTACGTATGACATTGTAGCCCCTTTTTCGATAGAACAAATTAAAATCAACACTCACACAGCAGATTGCTTGTTTCCTGATATACATCAATTCACTGACAATTAGAAAGTCTTCTTTTAACACAAGACACTTTAATTCATGAGTTTGAGCGACACATTTGCGAAATTAATGAAAATATCATAATCCACAGAAAAATACCAAAGTCAAAGATTACTTGATTACTACTTGCAATTGCATGCAATCACCACCGTGCCACCGACAGCAGATGAGGCCACAGATTACTAAGATAATGTCTTTGAGCTGCGTTCCAAACTAGCGATCAGAGATGGATCAGAGTGCACCTTTTATGCATGACGTTAAAATTTTGACATAAAATGTATGAAACTTATGTCAAATTTAACATAAATTGCGCCTGAAGCATGCCTGGAGCTCTTATCTGGAACGTTTGGTTTTAAATGCAGCGCAGTCCAGAAAAGTCGTAATTTTGAACGCACGAAAATTGAAATCAATTAATAAAGGTATCGATTCTGGCGTGATTCTCTAAACTTAAAACTAAATTTAACATCAGTCTCTCATTTTCTTTCTGTATAGAAAATGACAAGGATACACTGGTGTCAATTCTGACACGATTCTCTAAACCTAAACTTAAATTTGACAACAGTGTAACCTTGTCATTCTCTATACGGAATGAAAAGGAGAGATTGATGTTAAATTTAGTTTTAAGTTTAGAGAATCACGCCAGAATCGACACCACTGTTGTCAAATTTAAGTTTAGATTTAGAGAAACGTGCCAGAATCGACACCAAACTACGTTTTTTCGTGGCCGTGACTTAGAGCATATACCAATGGAGATAACATGGTCGGGTGAACCTCTCCGCCAAAATACGTGGCCATTCTGACCATGTGTGTTTTATAAAACTAGTTCACGCGCGACAGCTACCATTTTGGATTTCTACCCATTATTTTTGTCATTCATTCATCATTCCGTGCCTTTTCTTTTATTTAAGTTATAGACTAGAATACTTGCTTTTTAGATATTAAAAATACTTGTATATAACAGAAAACACCTAGTTTCTGCAGGGTTGAAGTGGCAAATAGATTCTTGCATGACAAAACAACATAATTTTCGCGGTAGCTTTTTTTGTTTTTTTTCCTCTGTACCAGCTATCTTCGCGTTTAGACTTTATCACCACTTCCAGTTTGTCTATAAAGTCGTGACATTAAATAATGGCGCCTCTAGTATGCATGTAGCAACCGGACCAAAATGATTTTGATACTAGCAGTTCATTCAAGTAAAATAGGTAATTAAGACATACAATACAGTCGTATTTAGTTTCTGTTTTATATACAGTAGGTACCTATGCTTATAAAAAGTTTAACCCAGCATATTTAATTGAATCAGAATAAAATTATTATAGATAAAATAGTACTTTATAGTGTACAAGTGTGTAATGTTGGTGATTACCCCTGAGGTGCCATTGAGACCAGAGCCGTTAGGTAATCATCAATACACACAAGTATCATACGACGTTTTTTAACACACTTGTTAAGAAAATAATACTAAAATCATTTTATAGTTTAAAAATGTTTATTTAGGGAAACAATTTGTAAATGTGCAGTTAGTAAAATTAAAGATAGATATCTTTACTAAATGCACCTGGCCATGGTTCTTTATGTGATCATTTCTTTCTTTGGTCGGCCTTGCCTGTTTTCCCAGGGGTTTCAAACTTTCCATCATTCTTAAAACCGTTGACTATCCGCTTAACTGTACTCTCTGATTTTCCTGAAAAAAAGTAAAAAAATATTTATCGGAATAGAAACAATAACTTATTGACATTAAGCAATTAATTCAAAATTGTTAGAAAACCTGACCGAGTTGAACCATAATAATGTATCAAAAGAAATGGTCGTACTACAATATTACCTATTTACAATGTCAATCTAACCTAAAAATGTGCAATGTAAACAATGCCGTTTTTGGTCTCAAAATCGTAAATTGAGTAAATTTGTAACTTCAGGCAGATTACAAACAAATAGTTACACGATTACATACCCTTCAATACAACATCATCCAAATCCCACAAAATTCGTCTAGCTTGGTAGTCTTCGAAACATCGCTGGAAAACTTTAAAAATCACTTCCCGCGTGCCACTCCGATTTACTTTACTCATTTTTATACCTTTCTGCGTAGTTTTGTCATAATTTATTACAGTTTAATCAAAACAATAAAAAATACAAAAGGAAAACTGTTCCACAACTGAAACTCGATGACAGCGTGATGACAGCTGATGTATATAAGTTTGGTATTGCCAGACACATGAATAATGTTAGTTCCTCAAACATTCATGTCACGACTTTATAGACAAACTGTAACACCAGGTGGGGTAGAGTCATTTGCCTACGTAGATATATAAAAAAAAATGCACATGACCAGAGTAGAGCTACGTACTTTGGCAGAGGGGTTCGCCCACCTATGCCATCTCCATTCATTGATATATGTTTTAACTAGAGATGCCACGAATAGTGAATTGGCCGAATACCGAATATTCGGCAACGCTGTCGGCCGAAGCGCCGAATATTCGGCGCGAAGTACATGCTTGGTGGGGGCGCGTTAGCTGGAATAAGACAAGTCACAACCAGTTTTTCTCGTTGGGTTCGCGCGGCAGGCGACGACGGCACGCGCGCGTGGCGGGGTGCAAGCAAACATTGTTTGTATTTGTTTCAATTGCGAGTAAATCGCGTCACGGAGCGCTTTGTTAGTATATAAATAATACGTAAAGTGAAACTTAATCACTGTTTTACTAAGAAGTTTGTTCCTTAGTTCATTTTCAATTGTTTTTTCGTCAAAAGGCTTATAAAATGACACCGGTTAATAAAAAATGGCCCATATGGAAATATTATGAGATTTGTAGTGAAAATAATAAACTGGCCCAGTGTTTGTTATGTAGCATCAAGATCTCAAGAGGCTTTCCTTCTCCGCAAGCAAGTAAGTAAAACGTTAGGTTAATTTAATAGTTTCGAAATAGTTTTATTCACTTATTACGTTTACGTAGGTAAATGGTTGTTTGTTAACTGGTTATGTCTTAAACTACGTACCTACTTACCTTGTTGTTGTACTGTACCTATTTGTAGATACCTACTTACAAAAGAAAGGAGATCGATTTGCCCTGGTTGTTTCGGAATAAAGTTTTATAAGAAATTATTTATATACCTATATTTATTTGATTTTCTATAAGATAAATAAGGGAAATAAAGTAACTTATTTAATTATAATTAATTTCAGTTTTTTTATTTACAGCTACAACCTCTTTAAAAAACCATCTTAAAATCAAACATGCTGACCAATACGCTGCTTTAATTAATGTTCCATCGACAAGTTGCAGCAACATGGGCGGTACTTCTACTTCTACCGATCGATGCCAAGATACCAGCAGAACCTGGAACGTCCAGATTAAAAGAACGGCAGCTTACCCTGAAGGAAACATCAGAAAGGAAATTGCTCTGGGACATTAATGATCCGTAATCAATAAAATATCATTACTTGATTGGCGAAATGATTGCTTTGGACAACGAACCATTGTCACTTGTGGAACGAGTTGGATTTCTGAGACTTATGGCAAACGCTTTGCCCCATTATAAAGTACCTGGACGCACTTACATGACCGAAAAAATTGTTCCGGATATATACAACAGAATTTGTGCTAAAATAGAAGCCAGTATTTCACAGGCAGCAGCATTATCAGTGACATCTGATATATGGACATGCCAGCACAATAACGAGAGCTTTCTGAGCTTCACTGCGCACTGGTAATCTCCTGAGTTCATACTAGAACATGGCGTTTTAGCTACGAAATCATTTCCTGGCTCATATTCTGGTATCAATATTGCAAAAGAACTCAATTATATTACAGAAAGATGGAATATTCCTCAATCCAAGCTCCATTTACTTGTCCATGATAGTGGCTCTAATATGATAAAAGGTGTGCTAGATGCAGGATATGATTCGGGCAAGTGCTTTATTCATTCACTACAACGAGCTATAGATCATTCGCTATAATCTTAACCAGAAGTACAACAGATGATAGCTGCTGCAAGACGAATTGTTACCCATTTTAATCATTCTGGCTTAGCAGAGCAGAAACTTAAATCTATTCAACAAGAACTTAACTTACCAAACCACCAACTAGTACAAGATGTGAGCACACGCTGGAATTCTACGTATTATTTAATGGGGCGATTATTAGAACAAAAGCGAGCTGTCTCCTTGTACATAACAGATCATGAAACTTTAATAAATCTGACACATGCTCAATGGGAACTATTGGAATAATGTATCAAACTCCTCAAACCATTCGAAGAAATAACAAAAATAACTACCTCAGGTATCTCTTGCATCTCTGAAGTGATTCCACATGCAGTAACTTTATTAAAATATCTGGGAAAAGCAGAAACAGCTGAAAAAGTACCTGATTTAGTCAAGATGAGATCTTCACTGCGGGCCGAGCTAGAAAGGCGATTCAGCTTCGCGAAAGCGAAGAACAAACAAACAAACAAATATCTGGTTGCTACTTTTCTGGATCCTCGCTTTAAAACGAGTTTTCTAGGATTGGTTCAAGCAGAAAGAGCAAGACAAAAAATTCTTCTAGAAGCTCTAAAAAAAAGTTTTGATGAACCAAGTAGTACCGATGACGATTCTTCTCCAGCGCGTAAGAAAAGAAACTTGAATGAAAATGATAGGACCGTTGAAATACACTACAGTTTCTGTAACTGCTTTGAAGAAGTTGCTACAGATAATATGAGATGCTAATGATGAGGAGGACGTGGAGAAGAATCCTGTGGCAAACGAGTTGGATTATTATTTGAAACCAGTTCGCCTAGATCGGAAAGCCGATCCTTACAAGTGGTGGTCAACAAACGAAAAACAATACCCGTACCTTTCGAAATTTGCAAAAGTTTATCTTTCTTCACCTGGAAGTAGCGTTTACAGTGAGAGGTTATTTTCTGAGGCTGGTAACGTTTACGATGAAAAGCGCAATCGTTTGCTACCAAAAAATGCTGAAAAACTCGTTTTTATCCATCACAACTTACCACTGATTAATTTTAACTACTAAAATGTTGTAATTTGGAAATAAATACATAATTTTGATTAAAATAACGTGTCTTTTTTTTACATAATTTGCTATTCGGTATTCGGCTGAATAGTACGTACTATTCGGCCGAATACCGAACAGCAAAAAAGTGGCCGAATACCGAATAGTTGCCGAATATTCGTGGCATCTCTAGTTCTAACTAAGGTTAAATCGGACTTTTTGGCGGGCTTTTAAAAAGTTCAGTTTTCTAAAGTTTAAAGATGGACGAAGATAGTGGAGGTAAAAATACTAAGAAGAAAAAGTCGGTTAAG